GCCGGAAACGGCGCGAATCGCTATGATAGCGTTGATGGGCCAGAAGATCGCGACTGGCAACACGCCGTCACCTTTTCAGCGACAACAAGAGGAACTGCTGCCGACACTTGAGTTACTTGGAGGGTCTAATCCGCGATGGAGGCCGGTGCTTCCGTCACCGGTACACGGCCTACTCGTCAGCATGGATGAAGACAGCGGTGACCAATATTAAGAAAACACTGTAGGCCTTCCAAATATCTAATTTCCTGTAAGTATCTTCTACACCTTTGCCAGGTCAAGATGGTGCTACTCCACTTCAAAACGGATATTTTTAAAGATATGAAAACAAAAATTTGATTAGAAAAAAGTAACACTAAAAAGGAAATTCAAAGTGGTGAAAACGCAGAGCAAAGTGGTTCTCTCAGCTTGAACTGCAGCTAGGTGCCGTACTGCATGTCCTCCATGCGCTCCGCGGCAGCAACGGCATGCTGGCAATGCAGTGCCATCCTGCTAACAAGGCGCAAGTCGATACAGCCGATGCCGCGCCTCGCCGCGCGCTCCAGTATCTCCATCCGAGCAGCCGCAACAGTCCCACGAGGACGCTCCGCAACCAGCTCTTCACGGGACAAGGCAAGGTCGGCCTTGATCTTGGCCTTAAGAACGCTGAAACACCCTGTAGTACCAGCTCAAAAGTCGATTAGCTGGCCTTTTAAAAATATATTGTACAGTAGTACAGTATACTGCGTACCTTCAATGGGGTTACACATTGGAGAGTATGGAGCCAGCCGTAGAAGTACGAAGTCGGCTCGTTCAGCGACGCGTTCTTCCGTTTGGTTATGGGCAGGGGCGTTGTCGAGAACGACAACGATTTTCTTGCCCTGGAAGTGCTCTTGAAAGATTGGCGAGGACTTGACTTTATTGTAGATTTCCTCAACAAAAGCAGCGTTAACATCCATGCGGATGCTGCCCCTTTGTAACTTATAATGCACCAGCCCTAAATCCGTTGAAACGGCGCACTGTACTTGCAGGTTGGCGCCCCTGGATGGCGGTAAGACGATCGTCGCCCGCTCGCCCCTTCTGGCACGCCTTTGGCTACGTTTACAATACAAGTTATAATTTGTCTCATCGTAATATACGATGAGGTTTCCTGCACTCATGTGCTCGCGCAGCTCTTTGGCAAACTCCATTCGCTTTGCTTTGTTGACTTCGCTGTTGCAAGTCATCGGCTCCACGCGGACCTGTTTCATTAAAATAAAAATATTATTTAAAATAAACATAATATATATTTTACCATTGTAACATACCTGTTTGGTGGTGTACAACTTGCCAATCAGCTTGTTGCTGATTGTCGAGGTGCTTAGGTCCACGCCGAAGTCGAATTGCACCATGTCTCTCATTGCACTGAGAGTGTAGGTGCAATTTTCTTCGAGGTACTCCTCGAGTGCCGCCTCGATCTCCGGAGTGCATTTGAAGTTGGACGGACGGGCTCCTCCGCGCGGGAGCAGCTCCGCCCGTCCTACTTCCACAATTCGACGTGCTGTGGTGGCGGGGATGCCGTTGTGGGCGGCCACAAGCATCCAGTCTCCGCCCGCGCGGTGGCTGTCGAGGACACGTGCTCTGGCAAATGAAGGGTGCGGGGCTTCGGGCATCTTGGAGTAGGAAGAGGCTTGGGACTTGGGAGAAGATTGAAAAGTGAGAGCGAGGAGTGGCAATGAAGTGCTCGCGGGCACGTGGGTTGATCCGCTTTGAACTGCGAATAAACCACTTTGAAGTACGGAGTGCGTTTACTCAACAAATTTGTGAAGTGACATAAATTCTAATGTAAAAGTTGAAAATAAATTTTATAACGTTTTGGTTACTTCACCACTTTGAAGTGGAGTAGCACCATCTTGACCTGGCAAAGGTGTAAAAACGCGTGAGATTTGAATTAAACCTAATCTGCTTTAAACATTTAAATTTGATTCAGCAAGGCCTAAAAAACCAATGTGTCCCAATCTAGCGGCTTTGGGCATGTTGTTTGTGAAAGCAGAGGACCCTCTTCACGACGAAGGACCTCAAGGTTCACAGTCAGCAAGTCGGACAAGTATGACTCACCGTCGCGTAGACGACGTGGCCGAGAGCACAGCAGCTATCGACGCGATGATGATCGTCGGAGAAAGCGATCACCGTCACCTCATTATTGCGGCTGTGGACCGCTTGTCAGTTCAGTTTTGTGCGAGCAGTGAGGTTTCCGGTGGTCTTGCGGACGAACTTAGATTCCAGATAGCAGCATGTTGCCCTCCTCACAGATGAAGCAGGCGCTGGCCGAGGCAATGGCCCGTTCGGCTACCACGCGTGGATTCGCCGTACGTTACTACTTATTGTGAAGCGTTGACGTTCAGCTCGTTCCTGCGTCAGGACGCGTCGATGCCGGACGCCAAGAAGTACGACTCGGTGAATGAATGTATTGAGTTGCTTGGTATGGAAGACATCGTCGACCAGATCATCCGTGGCAGCCCAGTGGAGCAGATGAAGCGTCTAACGATTGGCGTGGAGCTGACTGCACATCCCAGTGTGATTTCCCTGGATGAGCCGACGAGTGGCCTGGACGCGTTCGGCTAAGTTGATCGTGGACGGTGTTCGCAAGGTGGCTGACTCGGGCCGTACCATTATCTGTACCATCCACCAGCCGTCGTCCGAAGTGTTCTATCTGGCAGGATCACATCTGCGGCACCGCGCTCACCGTCGTCCGACCAAGCACCAGTCAGATCCCTGCGCTATGGCATCTCGCATTATTGCCCTCTAAGCACTCTTCTCTATGTACGCGAAGTCTGCTGCTACTTAAACGTGGCGATGAACCTGGGCAAGAACTGAACTGCCGCAACCTGGTCGACTACTTCGAGAGCATCAAAGGAGCTCCAAGAAACGTGCAGCAAGAATCAAGAGAGCGACGATGACTCCGATGACGAGTGTATTGGCGCCGGAGTAGGCAACACTGCGAGCCCGACCAACTTCGTGGACTGCTTCAACATAAGTTCGTACCGACAGGTGCTCGACAGTGAGATGGCCAACCCGTCGCCCAACTCGCCCGAGATGGTTTTTGTTAAGAAACAGATAAGTTTTTCTGCTGGAGCTGCACAATTATATAGATTTTTTTAAAAGTTTAAGTTTGATGCCCCCTGTTTCGGTTTTTCTTCAAGAGCCTCGCTCAAGACACTACACCAGCTCAATTATAAAAATGGACTACACTTGTTGTAGATTTTTCTTGTTCTTTTAGTTTTTTCTCTTCCTCTTCTTCGACTTGGTAGCTTCGGACAGTACGACTGAACCAGGGGTACTGATCGAAGCTGGAACGGCCATTGCGTCACTCACAGTGACGTTGTCGTCTTTAGCGATAGGAATTCCGTCACTCATAGTGACATTGTCGTCAAATCGCACTGAGCCTCTCTTCGTCTTTTTTTGTTCCTCCACTGCGTCTAAGAACGCGTCGTAGCGGGTCCCCTTAGCCGTAGCCGTAGGCGTAGGCGTAATCGCCTCATGCGTCCGGCGGTGTGCGTCAATCTTCATCTTGGGAATAGGATTCGCCCGGCGACCTTCGGCTCTTAGCCGCTCCTCCTCACTGCAAAGTATCAGTTTCCGACAAACTACGCAAAGCACGTTGATGGCATCTTTCAGTCCCAGCTTGTGGACCCTTTGGGGAACAGAGGTTTTGCTTACCAGCCGCAGCGGCCTCCATCGCTCGCGAGTGAAGGGATTTTGGCGTTGTGGGCTGTACAGCCTTCCTTCCAAATGCTTTGGGATGAGCCAACTCCCATAAGGAACCAATTCCTCAGCGGATGTGGGCCTTAGTAGCGAGGCGTTAGGAGGCAGCGTTACCGAGTCCGACATCGTGAAAAGATGCCAATTGACTGCATTTCCCCCTCTCGGAGGGTGATGGCGAATGGCGAGGGAGATGGCGAAAGCCGAGGTCTACTTGAATTCAGGAAATACTACATTATAAATATTAGTACTAAGCATAATACTCAGCAGAGGCTGTCAAGCTTATACTAAAATGATATAGAAGTTTTAGTATGGACCGCAACAATTCTGGACGTACAACGGGAAAATGACAAAATGTGAGTGGATACACTAAAGTTGTGACAGAAAGTTAAAGGTGTGCCAAAACGTGAGCAAAGTGGGGTCGGTATCGCCGGTAGGTGTACCAAGTGAAATCCGTGTCAGTAAGTGAGGAATTTAGGGAACAAATGTCAGAATGTGTGTCCAATCGATTGCAAACTTTTGGACACAAATCCGTAAGCATTCCCATCGAGTCTGAGGTGTTTAGTGATGCATCTTGGTTACCAGCAGTGTACGTCAAGCGCGTGGGGCGGCCCAAGACGAAAATAATCCGAAGCGTGGGCGAGGAGGGATCAAGTTCTATGAATCGATGCGGAATTTGCCATCAAAGGGGTCACAACAAGCGCACATGTAGAGTTACTTAGCTTTCAGGTCTGTAATAACGTTCCTCAGTCGTAATACGGTCCCAACAAAGTTTTATTCACTTTCGCTACTATTAATCCCAACTACTGAACTCGTGGCAAACCCGGAATTTTCATTATTGTCCCTCAGTCGCTTCAACTGAGCTACACCCGTTTTCACATCATTTTCAACAAATTCAACAGTATAGAAGCAAGCACCAATATATTTTTTCAAGCAATGTTCTTATTGTAAGTCACTGCCTTATATGACACCAGCGTACTCTGCTACAATTGTTCCCTCACTAATCCACTGCGTCGTAAAAAGAAAAATCGATTGACCCTTCAGCTAGTTGCAGGCAGTCTAGCTGCTGCAGCCGGTTTCCGCAGTGCACGCCGTTTTGACAGTTATTTGAGGCGCAAAAAATGCTGCTTAGAGCATTGGGACAGCTCTCGGGATCACAAACATTTTTACAGCCACACCAATCTTCCGGGCCTAGGTCAGGAACAATTAAATCGTCGGGGTTCTCCGTGTGATCTATCTGGATAACATCATCAGGCCAGGCTACAGATTTGTTGCTGGTAGCCGTCTCAACCTGTTCCTCATCACTGCTGTCAAGCAGACAGATTATATCTGGTGTGGGCAACTCAATCAAAATATTGTTGTCACTGTCATGTTGGACAGCCGGGCTGAACTGGAGTCCACCACTACCTTGGCTGTGCTGGTCGTCGTTTCGCAGGTTCCATCCAGGTAAATCACGTCTGGTTTAGCTGTCTGGTGGCTACTTTACTGAGAACGCATGTCTCCTTATCTTCAGTGAGATCCACCAATCAGCTAAATGGCCGACGTTTGCTTCCATGCCCCTCTCTTTCACCGTTTTCCCTATCCTTGTAATCGAGAGGGCCCAGTAGCAGTCACCGCACAGTATTGACTGAGCGGAGTGGCTTGCATTGTACCGCGATATGTACGTTTCGAGTCTGAAACTGGGGCACGCCGTGCCATACGAAACTTCTTGCGTGACTTGGCCTTGAAATACCCGGTCTTCGTAGTGCGTGCTTCTTTCATGCGCTTCTCGTGCTTTACGTATCGCGGCGCCATGTTTGAGCGCGTCTCTCTCGCAAACAACGGGATTTGCTGAATGCCAAGTTGCGACAGTATGTGAGTGTTGTGTTCACCATCTTCGTCTGTGATCAAAACACACTTTCTGTCACAACTTTAGTGTATCCACTCACCCGGTGTCATTTTCCCCGCTTACAACTCCCTGCAAAATACACCGCAAAATAAATGGTATATCAGCTGCTTAATTTCCGAGACGACCACAAAAACTGCGGTCCACACCGCGAGAAGAACATCCCTACCTCCTACGACTGCAGCAACGACGAAGACACCAGCAGCTACTACGTCATGTGGCACCCTGAGCTGCTTTCTGAATTGCCAATGCACTACCGGCTCCACCAGTGGAAATGTAGCTGGCAGCCTGACCGGCAGCCTCACGGCCGGTGTACATGATGAAGCCGTACGGGTTCACGGTGCCGTCGCGCATAGCACTGGCATCCGCAACAAAAATGTTGCTCGTGCCCAGCACACGCAACTTGTTGTCAGCGCAGCGCCTCGATCCCGCAGACGCGTCGCTTGATGCGTAGCAGCTTCCACCAAAATGCTGCGCCGCCATTCCGCGGTTAGCCGATACCCAATTGGCCACACCGTTCGGGTCCGAAGCGCCCGAAAGGAACGTTGCGCCTTGTGCCTTCATGGCACTCACAACGTGCTGGGCGTACTGCTGCATCGCGACTAGGTCGCGGTTTGTAGCAAAGTACGCACCGCCTTCTTTGAAAGGCTGCCATGCGCTATTGTTGTCAAAGCCGGACGCCGCGCGGGACTCCGGGTTGTTAACGTACAACAATATCGACAGCGCATTGTCTAACTTGGCGAACTCACCAAAACCATGAGGAAGAACCGTGGTCTGGAACTCATACTGGCGGCCCTGCACCTCGAAGTTCTCGTAGCCGATAAGAACTGGGCCAGAACTGCTCCAGGGACCCGATCCGTTCTTGCTGATGTATAGGTCGAGAGGCAACTGCGACTGTGTTCCAGGTTACACCGGAGACTGGTGTGGAGCCGTTGAGGATTCGTGCACAACTCGTACAGATTGCGGAATCGGTGCGTGTCAAGTGCTTTCAAATGGCTCCTCAGCTTGTTACTGCCCCGTGTGTAGCCCCTGTGTGCTATGACGGGCGTATCGTCCTTCTCCTCTACATGTCCGACAGCCCCCGCCGTGTCCTTGCAGCCATCGGAGTTAGCGCTAGCGTTAGCGTTCGTCGCGGTCACGCTAGCCCATTTGTGGGAGTGTGCTTGACGGGCCGGCCAGTCGAGAAAACAACTTTTACAATCACGCTACTGCGTTGTCTAGGCGTTTTCAATCCTGCTTTGACTTCGGTTCTCCGTTGCTGTAGTATTTACCGTATACCAAGGGCGTAGCTTTAGACGCTGATCACCCGTACAACCTGAATGAAAAGGATTTACCATCCACTATACTTCAATGGTCAATGCGGTAGCACTCGCAAATGTCGTTCATTGGGAAAACAGCCTTGAGATTCCTTCACTATTACCGGTAAGCGGCTGCGGCTTAAGAACACTGTTCACCATTCGTTCGAATCATCAGAATCATCGAACTAAGAGCCTCAAACGGTGACATGATTGGCATCAACGTCTTGTCAACTAATGGAGCGCTCATTTTGTCAACATGTCTTCACGGGGCGGGGCTGTCCGCAAGAGCCTTGATGGTGTCAAACGAGGTTTCCAGGGCCTTTTTGAACTTCTTTCCATCCGATACACCGCTGTCCTTGTAGTTCGTAAGACTGACGTTGATGCTCTTACTATGGAGCAGGTAGCCCACGCCGTACCCATGAGGTACGACAGCACCGAATGAGAAGTACTGCAGGAACGGTGTAGTCACATTACTCGACGAGATGAGGAAGTTCGTGCTTTCCGCTCGCACGGGGCTCGCCAGGAAATCGCTGGAAATCCCATTCTGGTTGGCGATCGAATTTAACGAAGTCAAGTGGCGGTCCACACCCAAACCCTTTTGCGCCGTCTTGGCCATCTCGACGTGACGGTTAACGGCCGTCACCAGCAGTTCACGCTGAGTATCCACAGCAACGCCATTCTCCACACCCTTGACGAAGGCTTCAGCAGCAGGAGTTGCAGAGCGAATTGTCTCGGTGCGTCCATGGTGGAAATTGCGCGTCGAGCACGACTCGTACGTAGGTGCGATCTTGCCGTGGGCTCGGTAAAACGCTAGTTGAAGAGCCATTTGCGCGATACCATCCGGGCTGAGCTTCCACTGCTTGCAGTTATTCTTCGCGAAGTTCTTGTACACCAAATACTCTGAGTTCAGGTTACCAGAAAAGTCAGCAAAGTGACTCTCGGCCTTCTTGATATCTTCCACCAGATTGTTCGACAGCTTCCAGCTGAGCTTGTCAGGCTTAGTAGCACCAGTGTATTCCGGCAGCTCCTCGAGGGGGGCGAATCCAGAGTCAGAGCCACGCATATCATGCCAACACTCGTGCAGCCAGCGGTTCCAGACCGTACCGTCCGAGAACGAGTGTTCGAAATTGACAGTCAAGTGGCCATCCGGTTGAACCATCACCTGTAGCTTGTCAAACCAGCGGTGTGATCCCTGGCCATGCAACGACAGCTCCATACGCTGCTTCATGTCGGAAGGGTTGCGATCCTCCAGTACGAGCATGAATAGCGCCGAGTCGATCACCTGCAGTGTCTCAGCATTCACGGGGTGGTGTGCAGCCAGATCGTCACGAATCTGTGCCCACGTATCGCGCTCCTCAGCTGTGAGTGTGGACAGATCCAAGTCGTCGTGGTCGCCCTTGGACGATGAGTTCAAGATCGCGTCCAATTGCGCCTCGAGCTGCCTCTGAGATAGCAGCTGTTTGCCGTCGGGGCTGAGCACGTCCAGCTTAAAGTACTTGTTGTCAGTCATGACCACGATGTGCGTAGCACGTGGGTGTGAGGTCAGCTCGTCAATGTTCTTCTTGGGCACCTTGGCTGTGCCGTACTGACGCGCGAAGCCAGCCATGCACTGGTTTTTGTCTTGCTCCAGCTCGCTGTTCTTGACCTTGGTCCACCATTTAATCATGGATCGCACAAAGGCGGCACTGCGAGGCACCATGCCTTCGAGATTACCATCAGTCTCATCCAGCAGACCGTACGACGGGTTGACGTTGACAGGACTTTGGTAGCGGCCTCCTAGGTACATTTTGTCCCAGTCCTCCTCGATGTAGCTGAACGGGTAGGCGCGTCCCATGGCCTGCTTGAGCTCACGCTTGAGCAGAATTTCCTGCAGCTGACGACCCTCAGCGTCCTTGAAAGCCTTGGCTAGCTCGGCATGCGTCTTCCATTCCTTGCCACTCACCAATGACCGCACACTATCCAGGTAACGCTGCACCGTTTCCTCAAGTTGCGGCACGGGTAGGCGCGGTAGATTGTATTCATTAGTGAGCAGCATGCGGTTGAACCAGCCAGGTTGCTGCCCGCCCGCAGCGGAACTTAGTGTCCGTGCGTGGGTCGCTAGCGGGCGCAACGACGTATGGACACGCATGATCTGAAAAGGCTAGAACTTGAGCACGATGTGGGGCAAGTTGCCAAATGATCGGACGAAGTGACGAGGTGTTTTAAACAGATAACTGAATAAAACCAACTTGAAGTGCACGTGCGGCGCTGACGTTGACACCGTCGTGAGGCCCAACTGCTGGTCATCGTGTGAGAGGCAAGGTGTGGACATAGCTAATGAGCTGTCGCTAGGATTCATTCATAATTGCATTTATACTATTGAAGCACCACGCGGTTTTCGCGCTTTTGAGCGAGGTAGTACCTTCGAAATGTCGACTTGCTGCTGCTGCTACTGCAATTGCTTTGCGTTGGAGAAGCCTCGGCACTAGCTGGATTGTTAGCGATGTCTGCATTAGGAACCACTACCAGTCTGGAGGGAGGGTCTGTTGGCGTGCTGCACGTGGATGCGCAGGTAGCAGATTCACCGTTTGATTCATTGTTTCCAGACGTAAATGTCGGTGCTGCTGAAGGTGACGAGGTGCACACGCGCACTTTGCTAGCAGTCTCTTGTGTCCTTCGTATCCGTGCACGGCTGTGAGACAGCGTCCTTGTGCTAGTTTCGTCGTGACCAGCGAGGTATGTTTTGAGAGCTGTGTATAGCCCTCGCTCCTCCGCAAACTTTTGAGCCATTTCTCGCCTCTCCAAGACGAGCTCTTCGCAAATGGATTTCCAATATCGCGTCTGGTCTTTCATTCCCGCTTCGATCACTTTCTGCGATGTCGAGATGGCTGAGTGCATGTCTTCCAGCTTGCGCGAGGTGCTATCTAGGAGTTCATGTTTGATGCGGTCCATTGTACAGCGCGAGCTCGCCAGTTCTTCCTGCAAAGCCTGCATTTCGCTGGCATGCCTGTGCTCGTAATCCTCGCGTGTTTGCTCGGCTTCAGCCATTCGAGCTTCAAATATACGCTGGAGACTCGAAACTTCTTCGTGTGACTGAGTCAAGAGATCCGTAAGCTCCACCTCCACGATTTCCTGGGTGGATCTTGAAATGGCTTGGCTTAAAAAGTTCACTTTAATAGGCAAAGGTGGAGGATACTTGGAGGCAACATCATCCTGTTGGCACACTTTATCGCTATCCGGCGTGTTGCTACACGAGGATGGATATTCATCGCTTGTATCAGCTGGTAAGTGTGACTTCGCAAGAGCATAGGGCGTGCTGAAATTGTGGTCTCTTGCATTGAGGTCATGGTGGCTACAAACAGCATCACTAGCGACTGTGAGACCAGCCTCCTTGCATATTGCTGCAATGGTGCAGAAGCTCTGTTCTGCAGCTAGGATTGCTGCGTCCGCGTCAGCGTCGTCGTGAGACCATCGCAGAGCAGTCTTACAATCTGCGGCTAGTTGATCTAGTGCAGCAGTTACAGCATCAAGGAACCCGTCATCTTCGGCAAAGAAGTAGTCGTAGTTTGGTATTTCATCTTGGTCTTTGGTTTCGATCACACACTTACAGTTAGTAAATAAACACCCCAAGATCTACACGAAAAGAGTTTTCTTACGCGACGAATCAACGCCATTCTGATATTGACCAGGTAATTGTCTGTGGATATCAGTAGGGACCGGATGCGAGCGAGACTGCGTCATTGCTCTTTAGTCAAGTTCCAAACCTGGCCGGTGCCATTTTTACTTACATGTTGAAGTCAATTCACTTATTTTCGTCCAATAAAATCGATACTATAAATGCATTGGCTAAAATACATTGGGATCTCAACCAGCACTTTTTGCGGGGGAAAGCTAATATCGACGCTAGGTATGCATGCGTGTCTTTCCTTGCTTCATGTGGCCTTTGACATGACTGCATGGAGGCGAATAATGATACTGTTCGGTTGACATAACGTTTTGTCTGTATTGCTGCTGCTTCAGACAGAAACAGACCCTGTGTTCACTCAGTTCCAAAGCCACCATGAGTGCCAAAGTGCAAAAGTTGATGACCCAGCCCATTAATCTGATGTTCAGATTCCTGCAGAATGTACGCATCTGGCTTGATTTGTATTTTTGTTGCGGAGTTGTCGTCTAATGAAGCTCTTTTGGCTGTCTACGCAGAAATCTCGCATCCAGGTGTGGCTTTACGAGCAGGTAAACACGCGGATCGAGGGTCGCATCATGGGCTTCGATGAGTACATGAACCTGGTGCTAGACGATGCGGAGGAGCTGGATGTGAAGAACCTTAAACGCACGCCTTTGGGGCGCATTCTGCTCAAGGGCGACACCATCACGCTCATGATGGCCGTCGACACGACCAACGGATCAAGCTAGGCTTCACAAGCAGTCAGTAACAAATATTTTCCTGCCACGCGCGGGTCCTTGCAAATATGTCCCTGTCAAGTATGAGTTTTCGGGTAAGCCTTGCAGCTCAGTATTGCTCGCGCAATGGTAAACAGTCAATGGCTGTACTTTCAGGATAGAAATGCAGATATTATTGCTCTGCTGGATTGTTCTAGGAGACGTAAGCGTTTTTGAAGTGACTCAAGAGGGCGCCCCCGTCAAAAGTTAGCTCGGTCACCCCTTTGAAGCTCTGTACGAACACCTCGATGTCGTTCAAGACACTAAAGTCAAAACAACAGGTTTTTTGTTAGAATAGTGCGCAAGGATGGATAGCCATTGCGATCACGTACCGCTCCTTGCCTGCTGCCGTTCGTGGTTGCACCAACTTGAAGCACTCTGGCAACTTCTGTGTAAACATGTCAAACACACGCGACATCACGTCTTTCATCTGCGGCGGAGAGAGGACGGGATGTAGCACTGCATGAAGCTTGAGAGTGCTCTGTGTTATCCCACGCATCGGATTTGTAGGAACGGCGAGACTGGCAGAATCGTAGTCAACCTGAACGCGCCACACGGCAAGAATGTTAGTGCTCAATACTGGTTGTCCTACTGTATATTCACCAACGCACCTCCGTTGCAACATTCTCCAAAAAGCGCTTCATGATCTGATCCTCGACGATGCTCGTGAACTTGCTAAAGATCTTCTCGTTGTGTTCCGCATAGTCTCGCAGGACGCGGTCAAACTCGTCTAAAAGGAGTTTTTGGCGATCAGTGAAATGTGCAGCTAGGGCAGCCTTGATGTGGGGAATGAGAGTCATGGACAACTCCAAAGACTGCGAAGCCAAAGCTGCAGTAGCCATACAGATCAAGAGCACACACGTAGCTCGATTAGCAGACAATCGCTGATGACAGTAGCGGTTGAAGCGTTTACCTAAGTGCCGGGCAGAAATGCTCTTGAGACGGGCAATCTGCATTGCACCAGCGCCAAGTACCAGCTGAGTCGTCCGTGAGTTAAATAACTACAGCAAAAATCAAGAATCAGTTTGTGAAAGGCTTGGACAGCCATATCGAAATGCAAGCAACGAACCCGAAAAATCTCAATCGATCGCTGGAGTACATCCGTTGCTAATACAGGGAAATTGGCGGCGCACGACATATAGTTCATCACGATCTCCAACATGAGAAGGACCGACCATACTACTCGGAACGATTTCCCGCAAATAGACACCATCTTGCGCGGTGGTGCGGTTTCACCAGCAATCTCTCGGTCTTCAGAAAGAAGAAGCGCAACACCTCGCCCACTCGAAAGATCGTCCAAAGATTTATGCCTTGTTTCGGAGATTTCCGTGTTCTTCCACAGCTCGTGATCCAAGGTTGACACGAGTTTTGTCACTTGAGTTTGATGGTACTTCTCAAGGAACAGCTTCAGCTGAGAGAAAAGAGCACCGCGTAGAGTATAATCCGTCTTGCCTGTCAGCTTTTCAATACTAACAACAAAATCCATAGTTGTGTCGTATAGCTTGCGCAGCTGAGGCATAGTGTAGGTGGCCTGGACTTCTTTTCTAACTGCAAACAGGTTCGATACGCTGCGCTGCGAGAATTCGCATGTCTTGCGCACAACTTCGTCGATTTCTCGAATCACTTTAGCACACCGCGTTTTCTTCTTCCAATCACCCAAATTCTTCTGCTCGTCACTAGCATTTTCAGATGGTGACCATCCCTCGCCTGCTACTGTCTTTAAATTATCCGTACCATTACTGTTGGCTTCATTGATAGCAAGAGTCTTCAGGCGTTTCTCCTCTTCCGAAGCTTCATCAATTTTCTTCTGCATAGACTTTACTAGGATGTCCTGCACCACTACAGCTCGCTTCAAGATCATGAGTAAATGCTCAAAGATCATCTGCACACACTGAAGAAATTCATCCGATGTCAGTGCTCGCAGCTGAACCGAAACTTTCGATTCACTCCCGGATGACATTCCTAAATCAGAACCACCGCTATTCTTGCTGCTGCTTGACACTGCAATCGTTTCAGTCACTACCGTTTTCACGACAACGCGAATCTCTTCATTGAGCTGGTCAAGATACGTCTTCACAGTATCGTCTAGAGCATCCAAACGGAATAGGACATCCACAAGACGCTTCGATTCCTGTTGCACCGTGTCTTTTTCATCACCGAGGCTGCTGTGTCTCTTTTTGTCAGAGTAAGCTGATTCCTCTTCGTCTTGAAATGTCCACTCGGGAGATGTAATAACTGAGATAAAACGCTGCGATATTTGCGTACTAATAAAGCCACGATAGCCACGAAACTTCTCACTCAGCGAGCTAAGTCCATGAATGCCTTGCAAATGCTCCCGCAGCATTGTTTGAGAGCTTTCGATCAAGTTTAAGGCGTTCGTGTAATCTTGACACTGTACCAAAGCCTCAACAGCGGACTCAGCACTTTTGACCTCCTCCACCATCGTCACTAAATCATGAAGCTCCTTGATACGCTTCTGTCGTCGGTGCAAACTCACTATATCAAGCGTTTTGTCAGCGAGGAGGTTTCGTAATCGGTCCATTGTTTTCCTGAAAGAAATACAGAATATAGCCATAGGGTAGGATGTTAGCATGAGAATAATAAAGGATCCAGTTGCAGCATCACCAACCTTAGTGTCGCCACTTGGTCGCACGCAGCTTTAATTGATTGCTTCATAACCTCCTGGTCTGCTGACGCCTCAAAAAATCGGTCTGATCGAGATGATACTTGGCGAAGAAGTGTAAACTCGACGCGATCCAGGTATGTCGTCAGCTATACATTGATCACACATTAATTTCGCGTGTTGTTTTTTCCCTCTCTCACCAATGGATTAACACACACAATTACAGTAATTAGCGGAACGCACCTCTTCTTGGAGAGATGCAGCGTTTGGCATATTCATCACCTCATCAAACGTATTCGGATCTGTCAGGTCGAAGTCTGGTCGAAAAAATAAGTTGGGCACGACATCCAGACACTTAGTCACATCCTCTGCAGCACAAAAAGTGGCATCCGTTAGACGTAACTTCGCAACATCAACAAGAGAGGCGTGTTTTCTCCGAAAAAAAAATTCATGGGTAGTTGTTTTACCATCAGCGACGGAGATGGACGGTACGTTGCTCGACGAGAGCTGTTCACTGACCGGTTTCACGTGATTCTCTTCATACTTGGCTGCGTTTGTACCAAACTGGCGCAGGTAGGACTGAAAGTCACGAGTTGACACGTCCGCAAGTCCAGGAAACGGTGCTAGCGCAATATCGACATCTAGTGAAGGATAGAAAGCGTCGAGCAGCGCACCACCCCAATTATTGGCCTTGGGGTTGGTCAACACTGAGTGCAAATTATGATGACACACTGAGAGATATGCACGTTCCTCTTCCCCCTGTGCATCACCCACTCCCTCTTCTGGCCATCCCACACTGCTTGAACCTGTTCGCCCGGAACTGCCCCAAGATCCGGTCCTGGCGCTGCTGCTCTCACGCGCAGATTGTGGCATACGCGCCTCAACCTCATGTTTGTGGCTGAATACAGTCGCCCCATCAGCCGAGCGTGTAGAACTTGGGCCCCGCACGTCAAAAAGACTTGGATACTCAGTAGGACTGGGCAACGCCATGCGGTTCGTAGGTGTCGCAGCAACGGAGCGAAGTGCTGCCGCCCCAACTACCGAGTCCTTCAGCGCGTTTAATGGACTCGTAACTCCATTCCACCCGCGCTTCAGCAGCCCACGGGGCGACAGGCCTCCCAGAGGCTTCTTGCCTCCGTCGTGCTCCATTTTTCGAGGTCTAAAAGTTTTTTAGACGCAACCGCCCAGGTGAAGGTTGCACGAAAGTTGCGTTCAGAATGCCAAGAAAGGTATGCACATTCTGAGCTCATATTAAGGACAGTAAAACGAGCCTCGGTGTGGCGACGCAAACTTGGGACTAATACCAATGTACACCATCAGCATGTGACTGTCCGGTTGGGTGAGTGCCAATGCAATAGCGCGGTGGTTACCGTCCCATATTGTGAAGGGGCCATTGACGCTTGCGCCTACGACGATTACTGTATGATTGAAGTGTTTGACGCGATGTTGAAGCTGACGTACGTGATTCCGGAGAGAGCTCTCCTCGACACCGTCCTGCGAGCTCAGAATTATCACTGCATCTTCAACTGTACTGCATGAAGGCAATTGCTGCCGCCAGCTATTTTCCTTCAGCACGTGGAACTCTCGGACTCGCTTCAACTCTAACTTTCCCTTGTACCAACGGCAATCTGTCGGCAAATGCGCCAGAAGAGGCAGTCGACTGGACCCCAGGAAGGCTGCGCGATGAATGTTTTCATTGATGGAAGCTGGATCTGGGTCCAGCATACCTGGAGTTAAGTCGGCCTAGAACAAGATCGGGGTTAGACCAAAGGAGTGATTGAGACGGTATCAGCACTGCGTACATGGATTTCAGGTACGTCCAGCTTGAAACGATACCACTCGCTTTGCATCATAACGCCAAGCATTTCCATCGCATCGGTAGCGAAGAAGACTCGCTTCCACGATAAGATATACACGCTGTTATCGACACGAAGGTCTTCAATCTCGGTTGCGAGGCGTAGCGATTTAAAAATCTGTTCTCCGGTCTCACCAAACAAGAACGTGTAGTCGGCGTCAGACTCTTGCCGAGTCTGCGTTGTATGCACCTGATACCATTGTGAACTCTGCTCGCGTAGGAAATTTTTCAGAGCGAACATGTTGGTATTCAATAGCATGCCACGTTTGAGATCGAATGCGTATTTGGGACACAAATCCTCCACAAGAGCCACATGAAAGGATCCATCTCCTTTCACTTGCACCATGTCAGCTTTGTCCGCAGTGCTGAAGTAAAGACCGTAATACGTATCTCCGTAAAACTCTTGGTACCAGTTCTCATCGATACGCTCTACACCTAGATCCGCTCGTAAAACTTCGAGCAGTCGCACATGGTAATCGGCTTCAGGATAGTTAACGATGTCGGAAAGCGCGGTCATCACTTGAAGGTTTCTCAAAACTTCATCTTCGGGCATAGCAGACCAAAATACCAGAAGGTGGGGCTCAGTCATCATCGGACACTCCAACGCGGGAGGCTCTAATTTTGCGTTTGCATTCATCTCCAAAGGCTGATACCCATCGAAAACAAAAAAATCGGTTCTCGAACACGACGATTTCGGCGTAGTTATAATCGTAACTTGCATAAAGAGAACAGTTAGCTAACATATTTGACGCGTTGGCGACACATTATTTTACTTACGGATGCGATGGCGGCCGGGGATGTCGATGGTGATTCTTTTGCCCCCTGTCCAGCAGCATGACACCATAAAATAGCACCGTATCCACCACGATATGAGGCCGCAAAGCGCCACTACCTACACAGCATGTTCCTCGCATTATGTACGGCAACGAAGCTAAAACGACTGGATGTATCTGAGGTCGTTGTTGCCGTCAGCTCGATGACCACGGGCAGCGGCACCGCGGTAGCATTTTGGATGCCCAGAAGCTGCGGCTGCGGTAGCGCGCAGTTGACTGCCCCGTACAACCGTAGCGAGGAAATAACCCAGCAGAACACGAGCCAGAGGGCAGAATACTGCCGCGAATGTTGTTTCATCGCCTGGAATCTGGCAGCCTTGACACGCAATAAATGAAGATCTTGAATAGATCGAACTGATGACTCATAAATTGAAGAATTGTGCAGAGAAGGGACGATTCTCAGTTTTACCCGTTGCAGTGCAACTTGTGGCGTAAGCTTGACAGCGCTGGATTTCGCGGCCCATTCATGAAACAGGAAGCATGATTTACTTCTACGACGTACTTTTATGTGTTGTCTCCGCTACCAAACTACAAAGTAGTAGCAAAACTTAGCTGGTCCTTGTCATGAACGCATTCTTTGATTGCTGCCTGCGTCGCCATTATTGACGAACGTCGAAGCTTGCGCATGTGCGCTGGCGCCGCATCTCGAGAGTTGGACTGCAATGCTGCGTCCCATCCGAACCGACTTGCTTTGCATGGGTTCAAAAGAGCACCGATAAAATCCAATTATAATAGTAATGCAGTGTGCGCCACACATGCCACTTCAGTCCGGACAGGTTTGTTTTTCCGTTTCACATTTCAACTGATACCAAAAGACACCGAAGCGAATAAGAGTCAGAGACGACACGCACGACCGCATGAGCGACGACAAAACGCAGCGCCAGTCGGCAAGATCCACCACGAGCGACAGCAAACACTCACACCGACCGTCGTTCCTACCACAACACAAGGACATGGCGCTTTGGGGCACGCTGCGCCACCGCATGAGCGGCTCGGTGCCCACGGACTCAAGCGAGTTCGTGGAGAATTTTTTTAGCAAGACGCCCGAGGACCCACGCTGGGAGCTGGATGCTATTCAGAAGAAGACCGAGGAATTTGTCGCCTCACAGCTGGCTCACAATCGCCGTGGTATCGCGCTCATCACTTCGGGCGCCACGATCGTGCCGCTGGATCCAGAGAATGATACGTTCGTGGACGCGGCACCACAGGTGCAGGAGCAGCGAGGACCTGCTTGTGCTGAGTATCTGCTACAGTTGGGCTACGCGGTCATCTTCGTGCATCGCGAGGATTCTCTCCGACCTTTTACGCGCCACTTTCAAAGGTACATCCAGAATGGAGCCTTCATGGACATGTTCCGCATGCAAGACAATGGGCTAGTGCTCTCCGGCATGGATCTCTCGCAGCAGTTGCAGTTCCAGAAGATAGCGCAGCTCTACACGGAGTGCAGTACCCGCGTACTCAACCTGAGCTTCACGTCTGTGCAGCAGTATCTCATGCTCACCCGAATTACGGCACAAGCCATGGAAGTGGCAAAGGACCGAGGCATTGTCGTGCTTGCAGCTACGCTCATGGACTTTTACGTACCGGTAGCCCCTTCAGCCTCAGCTACGGAAGATGCGCATGATACAGATTCCGCAGAGGCGTCATCATCGTCCTCCTCTTCCTCGTCGAAGCACGGTACAACCAAGCACATCAAGAAGCTCGCTAAGAAAATCGGCAAGAAGAAAAGTGACGAGTTTTCCGTCAACTTTGTGCGCGTCCCCAACATTATCCGCAAGATCCGCAAGGACTGGTGTCCGAAGGCCTATCTGGTCACATGCAAGCACCAGCTCGCAAGTGGCGAGGACATTGAGGATGCACACGCTGACTTGGAGAAATGGGGCGTCGATGTGATCGCAGGCAACCATCACTTGCGCGAGATTCTGCTCATCACGGAGCAGGAGGAAGCAATTGTAAGCTGCCCTGACGATGAGGACATCAACGATGCGTTTGCTTCGGCCATAGCTGACATGCACCGCAGCTTTCGACGCAAGCGGGAGATCCTGGTGCGTGGCAAGCAGCTGTTGCTTCTTTCAGCCAAGTTCTCGATGCTAAAGGAGAATGATGTCGTGAATGAAGATGCTGACGGGAACAAGAACGTCCAGTTCGGTCTAGGTGTCAAGATTCGTGCCGATCGAAGAGCTCCTGATACAATCGCTCCCGTGTATGAGCTCAAGAATATTTTCCAGAACAAAAGCCACTGCGCTCGAGCTCATGTTTGGGAAGGTGTGGTGGAGCACTCCTCAAGTGAGCCGACACGCGATGTTGTGGTGGCCTTCAGTCCCGCAGGTAACCCGGAAACAATCCGTGATGTGTGGGGTGATTTCTGGTCAGGTTGGGCGGAAGACGAGCTGCAAGAGTTTAAGACGGAGATGAAAGGCATTTCATTCTCATCGGCAATCAACCTTGTGACCTCGTCGGTGTCAGGTCACTATGAGCCTGCTTCGCAGCTTCTCAAGTTCATGTGGAGCAAGATCGGCCATGCTTGGTCTGACGGAGAGAAGACGCGTATTCGCCAGAGTATTCAAAACATGATGGCTGTGGCATTGGATCGCGGTTTCACTGAACCTGCAGGCATCTCCATATTGGAGAAACTCATGCGCAAGCCTCGGATCCAACGCTTTGACTCACTGGTGCTGGACCAACCGACGGCTGTGCCAGTGCACGCACAGACTCATACCCGACGCCGTCGTCGAGTCAGCGACACGGACAGCACTGGGTCTGGAGAGATCAACCCTGTTCGGCTCAGCAAGGCTCGGGTGGTTCGTGTGCATCGCGCTATCAACGATTACATGCAAGATATGATCAAGGAAGGACTGCTCGATGCTATCTTGAAGTACGTGGAGCAAGGAATCCCTGTGCACGTCACTGGCTACAGTATGGGAGGCATGTTGGGTCAGCTCTTCATGCTGTATCTGGGTGATCACGCCCGAATGAATGGCTGGGACGCCAGCAAGATCAACTTTGTCGGCTTTGGATCTCCCCGAGTAGGCGACATCGGCTTTGCCGCTCGACTGCGCGTACTCTTCGACCCGCAGCAGTTGCTGATCGTTATGCATCCACAGGACACTGTGCACGCTTTCCCTCCTACGGCCGAGGGGTACGTGGACGCGTGTATCAAGATCTTCCTACGCGAGCATGGAATGGGTGTTGGTCGACGAACGCCGAAACATTTTTCACTGCTTCCCGTCACGAAGTCTATCGATCGCGCGTTTGAACACGCCCACAAGGCCCATACGCAGAACAAGTGCAAGCGACCGGCATGCTCCTTAGTTGAAAGCAAAGCTCATCTCTAGGCCCAGCACCGTTGCCGCTACTGCATCGAACGTGGCTCTCATAGGGGTTCCGACTGTCCGAACCGCAAAAAGCCGTGCCTGTTGTGTGGCAACGCTAACCACTGCACAGGTGAGCACAAGTGCCGCGTGTGCCAACACTACGGCCACCGAGGACGCGAGTGCCATGCGCAACGTGATGTGGGCTTTGCTGAGCTGCTCACCTACTTCCGCTACCACCACTTCCTCTACTACAACGCGAATCTCAAAAAGTCCGTCGAGTTCACTTCGTAAGCCAATTTGTAAGTTAATGTCATTGGTTTTTGCCTCAAACTTGCGTTAGTATGGCCTCAACGCACTTGCAGCAGCGGCTGGCGAGGGTGGAAATATCGACCAGAGGGCTATCTTGTGGTCTTTGGAGCTAGAAGTCAACAGTGCGCTGTCAGCGCTGAAGTCCAGAGCGAACACACTCTCGCTATGATACTTGAGCACAGCGAGAGGCTTGAGTTTTCGCAAATGGAATAAACGGACACGATAGTCCCAGCCGGCGGTAGCCACAATGCGCTGATCCCCGCGAATACGCACGCTGCTAAATCCACCATGAGTGCAGGAAAAGAAAGATCGAGAGCTGAGCGTGTAAGAAGCCACGTCAAAGCTTGCCGCGTACAGCTCTTCACCCGAGGACCCGCAGATTGCTGACCGTCCGTCACGCGTGACGTCGAAAGAGAGCACTAGATCGGCCAGGAAAAATGCAACGTTAGTATTAATAGTATAGCAATAGCGAGTCATACTCGAGACGTACATGCATTCGCGCCTTGAGTAACGGTGGTTTCACAAGCTACTTTTCCGCCCGACCGCAGATCCAAGATGGCAAGTTGTCCACCTTCGAATCCGGCCGCGATGTACGTCTGCACGTTGCCGCCGGCGCCATCTTCTGCTTGCGCAACGCTACTGTGAAAGAGAGACAGTGACACGCACATACCTCTCTTAGCTGCAGCATCCGACACTGTAAGTGTCATCGTTGGTGAGGACGTATCCTCTCGAATGTCAAAGACGAGGAGCTGCACATCAAAATGTCCAACACGATTAAGACGCCACGTTCATTAGCGATGAGTCACCACGAAGGATAATGAGTAAGAGCTCACCTTATTGTCCACGCTGCTGGGGCATACAATTAAGTTTGCGCCCTCAGTGGTGTCGCCCAGCCAGCGCATCGTAGCGAACTTGGTGAACGAGTACGACCCGCAGTAGAGCTTGGACAATGGCTTAGCTGCAATGTCGAAGATCTGTGCGTCCCATAGCTTCACAAACCCATCGCGACCTTGCGTGGCGAGCTTGTGCTCTGAAGCGACTCCTTGTAGTGCAGCATGCAACACGCCAGCTTTCGAATGGGCCGCAAAATTCGTTGCCAGCTCTCGACGCGATTTGAGATCCCAGATTTTGACAGCACCATTACCTGCACCAGAAACGACGGTGGATGAGGAGAGGAAGCCCACAGTGTTGACGGGTGCACCGTGGCCACGCAGGACGCCGAGCGGCCCTGGAGCCGTCATAGTTGATGTGCTACGCATTTTGCGTCTCGAGCACTTGGTGTACTCTGATTGGTCCGTGAGCAAGCTGTGGAAGCTGGTTGAAGCGTGACTTTAAGATAAACCCAGAGCAACTACAGCCGAAAAAACTTTCTTCATATAAATAAACCCGGAGCAACTACAGCCGAAGAAACTTTCTTCGGCTGTAGTTGCTCCGGGTTTATCTTAAAGTCTTCAAGAAAGGGTTAATAGATTAAGGCTCTACTTCTGAACGAATCGCAGCTATCTGATAGCAGGCCTCGGACAATATAATACGAAATTGTACTGCAAGACATCGAGTCCCATAATAATAACGGGAATATGATGAAGTACAATAATAATAACGGGGCCAATATAAGTATATTGTGGCCTCTAACTACCAAGTCTTCCTACCCATTGGCGACGAGCGAAGTCGCGTTCCACATGTCGCGGTTCACGCGAAGAAATGCTAACATCTCAAAGTTTGCAGAAAGCATGGATGACCGCTGAGGCGTCAGAATGAGCTTGCACTGCGAAAACAGTCTTTCAACTGCGGTCGAGGTGGGCGGCACCACCTTTGCCAGCTCATGAAAGCTCACACCCGCAGCACCAGCCGCTCGCATCTGCTTCCCCCCTCGTAGAATTGCGCTGGCGTAATCGCTCGTCGAGCGCTCCTTCCTCTTACCAGTTGCAGCATCTGGCTCCACCAATCGCTGGACTGCGCGCGACTCAGACGCAGTGAGCTTCGCATTGTTGCAAATCTTGACCAAAGCTGCCTCAAAGGCCGGCGCATGGACGATCTTCGCCGCCGGACGCAGATGGCTCGCCATAACTGGGTAGTCGTCAACAACCTAGTCAAACAAAACACGCACGTCCGCCATGCTGGTGTCCTCGCGCTGGAGTGTCTTGCAGACACTATCGAGTTTCTTGAGGTGCTCTAGCAGGCCGAGAAGCTTCTTGTGGGCCGCACCTTTTGGGATGAACTCGTCAACAGCATCAACCTGTCGAATAGAATCTCGAATTTTCTTATAGCGGTCCACCATTGCGAATGTCGAAGACCAACGGGTAACATTCCGTTTGACAGGTTTCAGGTCCGGGAATTTTGATAGTTCCGCAGCATTGTTCACATGTCGTAGCTGCACCATCAGACTGTTAGCTGCAGCGAGCTCCGGCTCATAAGCAGCTAAGTAGCGATTCACCGCAAGGTTGTACCGGTGACTTGCACAGCCAACCAGTGGCAACTCCAACAACGTAGCGATCCGCTGATTGGTCGCGCAATTGTCGGCTACCAGAAAAGACTCCATAGAGATGTCCTTGTTATACAGCGCCAGCACGCGCTTGAACATCTCGATGTGCACTTCAGCATCTTGGCTACCGTCCTCCAGCGGTGACAGCGACAGCAGTCGCTCACGGCGCTTGCCGTCTGCGTAGCAAACACCGTAGATACCGACGTAGTGCGTGGTACCGTGCGTCCATCCATCCCACATGACACCAAACAGCTTGCCCAACTCGCTTTCGATCAGCACACCAACGCTCTCGGAGCACTTCTTCATGTCTTCCCTCAACGTCTTGGACGAAACGGGCTTCCAGGACGACATGGACCTTGTGAGGTGGTTGTCGACCTCGGAGACGGGCATGTGCCTCTCTACGACCCACTGAAGCCACTGATAGCGATGCTGAGTCGCCTCGGACACGAACCCAAAGTTGGACAGAGGGGCGTCCGTAGCCGCAGATGCGCTGAAGGTATCGTTGAAGTCGGGGTGCGTCAGGTTGAGGTGGGACATCAGGTTCGATACCCCGGTACCGGTTTGCTGCTTCCGCAAAGCTGACAGCGGAAGTCGCCTTGGCCCTTGTCTTCGTAGAAGAATGCGCAGATATCACGGTTCGGAGCCATCGTGGTCAAATGAAAAGTGAGGGAGTGCTGTGAGGCTTCGGCTCGTGCTCGTGTCTGTGCCTGCCAGCCAACCACTTGAACGATTGGCGCGAAGAGCTAGTTGCCTCTAACATATTGGTATAAACCGGTATTGTACTGATATTATTGGATCAATATCATATTATATTGACTTTGGACAGATCCAATAATAATAATTGTAGCCGGATAATACAGTAATTACGGGATTGATATTATTTTTTCCCACCCCTGTCTGATAGGTATCCTGGTGGTAGATCTACTCACACGCGGCCTAAAAAATCCTCAAAGAACAGCGCCAACTCCTTCTTCTCCTCGGCATCTAGCTCTCCATCGTCAGCAAAACTCTTCTTAAGTGTCTCCACCACGGCCTTGACACCCGACGTCTGATGGACTTGTTGGCATGTAGGAAGCTGATGCCGCATGGCGTCCACGAGCTCAATCACTTCGCGATGAGCAAGTTGGTGCGCCTGTACGAGAACAACAGTGAAGTGAGGTGTATGTTAGTGTCGATGTTTTCAAACCTAATGAGCTTCACAAAACAAAGTGCACGTACCATTTTAACGAAAAGCATGGAGAAACGCTGACACCACTCCGTCGATTGAAATACTCTTTCAAGCTCAACCAAAGCGACTGGCACTCCACCATCACGCAGCTTCAGCTCCGCTGCTTCAGCCAACAGATCGTACACGAACAGAAGTGTCTACGTTTAAACAAAGAGCCACGTGAAGTTAGAAAAAAAATGCTGAAACGACGAACAAACTGCGTATACGCTTACCTTCAGCTGAAGTTTATCAGGATGAGCATCATCGAACAGGCCTGCCAGAAGCTCCGGTCCGTTATGAAGCGAAAACAGACGTTGTCCACGCTCGTTGGACCGGACAATGGAGGATAGCGCATAGATAGCTTTCTTCTTCACTTCCAGAATATCTTTCGCTGCTTCTTTGCTGCTCGAAATCTCCAGTTTCAACGAGTCAACCAGCTTCGGAATAACACCTGCATCAATTGCCCACTCCTGGCCATCTTTGTAGTTCTTTGCCGCCGATCCAACCACCCACGCGGCACTTGCACGGACAGGCAAGTTGGTCGAGTTCAGATACTCGGCAATAATGCCAAACCCACCAATGAAGTTAAATACATGGGTCTTGTCGAGATCCTGCACTTCCCACTCCAACACTTCAAGCACAGACAGCTGGCCTTCCGTATCACCTTTCTGTTCAGCCTCTTTGAATTGCCCCAATAGCTTGCCCAGATACTTGGCATCATCCTGAAGTGACTCCAAAGCTTCTTTCAGCTCGGCTTGACGCTTCTTCCAGAGAGTAACAATCTGCTTTCGGAACTCAACAGGAGATAGTTTCTCATGCGCTTCGTGAATATCCATGCCCTCAACCTTTGGCGGCTCAGGTAGTGCCTGGAGAGCGTCGTAGATTTTCTCGTGATTCCAATTCGGCTCCGCAGGTGGAGCTTCGTCTTCTTCACTCACAATCAACTTGATGTCTTCAGTAGTTTCCTTGCCAATAGCCTCACTGATCTCCTCCTCGGATACAGTGAGAGTGTCGTCGTTACTATCTTCAGTCACGATGTCTCCGGAGATGTCCGTAGACACAGTCACGGTAGTCTCCTTCGCGTTTGGGTCTACAACCACCGAGCGCATGATATCCTCTGTTTCAGCATCGTCAGGGTCCACCAGCTTCGCCTCGCGTTTGCCAGTCTCTAGGTTCAAGCGCACGTGTAGTCCCTGCATTGCAAACATACCATGCGCTGTCAAGCCACGAACACGTCCATCCAACTGCTATTCCCATCAGAAACAGCGCTTACCCGTGGCACACCTTGACTAGGTAGAAGTGTCTGCCACTCGTTAGTGGCGACAAATTCGGGCACCGTCACTCCTGTGGTGTCCTGCTCGGACTCGGTAATCTCAACAGAGACCTTGCCATGCTCCTCCGCGGAAGCGGCTCCGAGCGCCAGCACAATTAGCAGTGCAGTCACTGCCAGCATCAGGAGGCGCCCCGATCGCGATCTTCTTAAAGCCATTGCGCGCTACGAATCGGTGTGTTCAACTGTCGGAATCGAGAATGGCAACTTGCTGACGTGGAAACATGGCTTGTCATCGATTGCTGCTTTTGCTTCGTGCAACTTAACCAAAAATGTGCAACTTCAGCTTTTGGAGCAACATAAAAGGAAGTTCGAGAATAGCAAATGCTGTTCTTGTGGTGTCTTTGTGCTGTCCTTGGGCGCGTGTCTACAAAAGCAGAGCTGCCAAAGACTCTGGGCCAGAGTCTCTGGCATATGCATAGTGCGCACGCATCGAGAAGACAAACTTAGCTTCGTATCTATCAGTACGTTCGTCAGTCGAGTAATTTTGCCTCCTTCTGACCGGTCTGCAGATTCACGCGGATGTGGAGACCCTGTACATTTCATGGATTAGTGACGGACAGGCACTAAGCTGCAGCAAACACACTACAGTGTAAGGGCATCTTGATCCGTCATTGAATTCCGACGTACCGCTGGAAGCACTTGATTGGGAAGGATCTCCTTCCATTCATGTGTCGGTTCGAACATGAGTGGAGTTGTTGTGTTTGTGCCTCGATTGTCGGGTGCCTCTGCAGTGTATCGCCTCCGCACTGGGACAAATGCAGCTCTCCCTCCCGATGCTTGTTCGTCAAAATTCGCCCGTACACGCGCTGCAGTCAGCAGGGGCGTGCTGGCGAACAGACCCACACGTTGATGAAGTGACCCTGCTGCATTGCTGTCTTCAAATTAAAAAGTGCAGCAAGGCGATATCTCCCGAGGCACTCTATTATAACTTTATTATCGATGACTTCTGGCAGCCTACACAAGGAGCTTGGCTTCTTTCTTGCCAGTCTGAAGGTTTACACGAATGTACAAACCCTGCGAGAGGCAGTGGAATAAGGAGATGAGGGAAACTACTAGGCAACCACTCGGTCAGCTACACTTACTGGAGGAATGGCCTGGTTCGGTAGAATATCCTGCCACTCGTGCGTCGGTATGAAATCGGGAGGGGCATTGTGGTGCCCTACATTTTCTTCTGACAAATGGCGCTGGCACCCTTGGCCATTTGAAGCATCGCACAATTTTTCGGCGGTGTCTCCCTGTGTATTTTCCGACAGCAGCAATGCCATGGACCCACCGCCTCGGATGTGACCGTGGTCTTGTATCTTCGCCATGACGAAATATGCCAACATAGCAAACGAAACAAGCACCTTTGCCGCTGGCGATACCATCTCTGACTCGTGCAAATATCTCTGCTATTGATAACTTCGAATCGAAGTTCGATATCTTTGCAACATGGAACTTTAGGTGTACCGAAATTAAGGTACCGAGATTGTTTCTGCGTCAACAACAAGCACCAAGGTCAAGCTACATGCAGCCGCACGTCCAGGCAGCGACACTGGCCTTGCAGGAGAGCCGAGCGACTGCTTCCGAAGAAAGTAATGCCACCGATCTGCGTATATTGTACAAGTCCCTGCGCAATCCGTCTAGCAACCTCCGTGTGAACAAATGGGACGCTCTGATTCTAGACTCGGAGATTCTCGGGCTGCTCAAGACGCCCATGAAGAGCATGTTCAGCATGTTCGATCCCGGTGTTGTGGAACACGTCAAGCCGGAGATTGACGCGGTACTGGGGGCTGTGCTGTTTGCATTCACTACCGGTGTCGGAAGGGTGAGTGATAATTGTTTGTGCTAAGCAAATTCTGTGACTGATGTTTTTTTGCTGCAGCCGACACCCGGCATGAAACTCGAAAAACTCCGATACGCTCCCCATTTGCTTACTCGGCGTCGTGTGGGTGTTTTCTTCTTGCTGTCAGTGGGAGTACCGTACGCCTGGAAACGCCTCGTTCGATATCTATCGTCTTCGCGATGGACTGCTCGAGCTGCTTCACGTGGCGACAGGTCTGATGGTGAAGTGACTTCTCGTGAGCGTATACTAGCGGTGATGAAGAAGCTTGAGACGCTTGTAATTACGTGTCAGTTCGTCAACCTGCTCATTTTCTTGCGCAAGGGAACTTATCGCTCGCTCCCCGAGAGATGTCTGGGAATGAAAATGGTACAACGAGCAAGGTAGTGTTGGTTGTTCATGGGCTTTCACTTACGTTAACGTTATCCCATGTTTATAGGAAAGCATCACGCCGTCGACAGCTCCACGGTCGATTAACTTTGAGTACATGACTCGACAGTTGTTGTGGGAGGGCTTGATGGTACGTTCAATGTCTAATCACATTTCCACAGCGGTAAATGATTTGCTGCTTCGTGTCATGCAGGAGTTCGGCAACTTTGCGTTGCCCTTCTTGACCTGGAGTAGCTCGCGTACAAGCGCAGCGTTTCAAGGAAGATTGTCCGTTGCGGATGCTCGTTTATCCCAGTGCTGCCTGTGTGGTATTTCACCTCCACAGACGCCATACATCACGTCGTGCAAGCACGTCTACTGCTACTACTGCCTGCAAACTGCAGTTGCCACGGAAGACGATTTCGCGTAAGTTTAGGATGCTTGAAATGTTTTAATGGGGACTAACGATATGTCTGCAGGTGTGTTGCATGCGGAGTGAGGTTCGATTCGTCACAACGACTTCGCCTATAGCTTCGCCTTTACCGGTAGCTCATCACTCGAACTACTGTGGTAAACTGCGGTCTAGTAGAACCTGTAGTTCAACATGTTCACCTAAATTTATCGACACACATCATCGTTGTTAATCAAACTCTTTCCTAACAGTGTTTCTACAGCTAATCAAACATTAAAGAATGTTGGCGACACAAATTGCGAAATAAAAGGAATTTCAAACCAATTTTACGTTTAACTAACTCTACAATGCTCGCATTTTCTTTCAAAAGGGTGGTGTTAAAAAACACCAGGTATAAAATGATAGTCGGCCCAAAAGAGCCAACTCGAGAAGGACTGGCTCACCAATTGAAATGGACGAGCCGTTACCAGTTAGGTGACGCTATCATAAGATAGTGACAGCTTACGAACGCTCGCCACGGATGCGACGAGCCAGCTGAATATCCTTGGGCATGATCGTGACACGCTTGGCGTGAATAGCGCACAGGTTGGTGTCCTCGAAAAGACCCACAAGGTAGGCCTCAGCGGCCTCCTGGAGAGCAAGCACGGCCGAACCCTGGAAGCGCAGGTCAGTCTTGAAGTCCTGAGCGATCTCACGCACCAGACGCTGGAAGGGCAGCTTGCGGATCAGAAGCTCCGTCGACTTCTGGTAGCGACGGATCTCACGCAGAGCGACCGTACCGGGACGGTAACGGTGGGGCTTCTTGACACCGCCAGTAGCGGGGGCCGACTTACGGGCGGCCTTAGTAGCGAGCTGCTTACGCGGGGCCTTGCCACCGGTGGACTTGCGGGCGGTCTGCTTGGTACGAGCCATTGCGACTTAGAAAACTTTGCTGAGCGATCGGGTGCTGAGAGCGGAGCAAATTGGGGAATGGTTTTCGATCAGACTTTCAAACGAGGTTGGAGACAAGGCAACGTCTAAAAAGTAAAACGATTCAATCGAGGCTATACCAATCAGCTGCTAATTTCACGCGTTTTGGCCAGTTATCATGAAGCATTTGGACCCTCCACCAATCAACGATAGGAGACCAAGAGGTCACAACTTAAGCCAATCAGCACGACGTTTGCGGGGACATGGTGGAGACTTGCGAATGTTAGCCGAAGGTCGCACCGGTTGCCTCAAACGTGGGCGGGAAAAATTGACGCGGTAGAGCCAAGACAAAAAGGCTGTCCGGATTTGAATCGCGTCGCAAAGTCTCATTCTGCAATCTTCCAACCAAGAAGCAAGCAACTCACCCAACTAACTCAAGTAACATGTCTGGACGTGGCAAAGGCGGCAAGGGACTCGGTAAGGGCGGTGCCAAGCGTCACCGCAAAGTTCTTCGCGACAACATCCAGGGTATTACCAAGCCCGCTATCCGTCGTCTCGCACGTCGTGGTGGTGTGAAGCGTATCTCTGGCCTCATCTACGAGGAGACCCGTGGCGTCCTGAAGGTGTTCCTTGAGAACGTCATCCGCGACTCGGTCACCTACACTGAGCACGCTCGTCGCAAAACCGTGACGGCCATGGACGTTGTGTACGCTCTCAAGCGTCAGGGCCGCACCCTGTACGGCTTCGGCGGATAAGCGCTTTACCGCTGATTCCCTCCCGGTTCTGATGGTTCCAACAACCTGCTCCAAATTGCAGTCCGCAGTCTTTCTGTTTAACATGAACGGATAGTCTGGTGGCAGCTTCCAGAGCTTCATTTCCTGGTGTTTTTTAACACCACCCTTTTTCAGAGAAATCTAAGCTCTGTAGGATTAGTTTATAAACTTGCAATTACAGGCGCGAATGCGGCTCAAGGTGCGAAAGGTGAAATTCCAGCACTAGTACACCGACGGACAGAATGCAACTGCCATTAAAATTCAACGTAAAACGGGCGCAGGTCATAGCTGCCACTTGCAAATCTACCAAATAAGCCAATCAAAACAGCTAAAACGCCACATTGTACAGCTGAACTGCAGTGGTTATTCTGCACCAGTCACTTGGTAAAATGGAGGCGGTACGTGTAGCTGAAACCACCTCGGAGTTCGAGTCCGAACGCCGGTCGGAGCCCCCACCTGAGCCTCCGTCACCACCAGAAATCGTGGCGATTGCAGACCTACTTGACGAGGTATACGCGGAGCCTAAACAGCGTCAGATGCATTATACAATGAAGAAGAAACGACATGCTCTTGAAGGGCAAGAAGGGCGAATATACTGCGTATCAGTCTCTACAAAGGTTGCTACGACGTTTTGCCTATCGGCATGGCTTCGTGCAGCGCACACCGCACGGTTTAAAGGTAGTGCTTTGACTTATAAATTGTATGGAACTGATCTAATTTGATCATTTTGATATTTTATTTATAAGAAAATTGGTAGAAGTACAGGACAGTTTCGCTAAACTTTTTAAGTCTAAGTACAAAACCAACTTTTAGTGCTAAATACAGCTGCCTCCCTAACTTTGCCAAAAACTCTTGGTAATTCGTTACTGTAAAAAAAAGTGCTGTGGTCATCTGACCGCTTTTGTACCAGTGGGAAAGTGGCAGTTGCATTCTGTCCGTCGGTGTAGTTAAGTGCTTGTACTTCGAAGTAGCAACAGTTTTTAGGCTTGTAAAAATGCCACGAGAACTGTCCTGCTATTCGAAGTACTGTAGAGCGTAGCTGTAGTACGTGTTACTAATACATACTACGTGCTAGTACTACTAATGTAGAGGTACTATAATACTAATAGTAGTTGAAAAAAAAACTTATGTAGTCGTTGAAGCATGTAGTGCGTTGAGATTGTACTGCGTTTTTAGTAGTAGTACTAGCTACCCTCGGCGAAGTCTTTGCTTTCGTGCCTGGTTGTGCTGTTGCGTGTAAAACTCCTGCCTTAACAGAATGTCTGGCGTATTCGGCAGGTCCGTGACAGAGACTATGAGGTCATAGCTTGTGTCAACGTTTCCTGCACCGAAGACCCCAATATGCAGCGCGATCCAGCGACGGCCACCGTCCTCGTTTTTGCGAGGAAATCCGTCAAGATATGTGAAAAGTTTGACAAACTCGTCACCGCGGCGCTGCGCAATCCATGTGGAATGTCCCATGCGTGGGTACTTGACCTCGCTGGAGAGATACAAATTTGCGTCGCCACCCTCGGACACGTCGTAATTGTCGCACAGCAGCTCAACTGTGATGAGGTGTTCGTGCTCATGGCGCCCCACGCAAAGGTGGTAGAAATCGTAACCGTCGGGTGCCACAGTGCCATTCACAGTCATGTTTGGCACCACGCGTGTGCCTAGCGCTGGTCCCCATTGGGCGATCGCCCCGTCAGATGCGAGCTGTACCTCATCGTGTTCGCATTCCGAATCCGCAGAGGATTCCACAGCCAAATCGACGCTAAATGCCCCTTGCGAGTAGACTTGGGCCGATGCAAGTCCGATGCAGAACGAGAAGCCGCACACCAGTAACAGCTGCCAATGCGGTGGTAGTGCCTGCAGCATTGAAGAATTATAAGACCTTCTGCACCGAAATAGCGTTTCCAATCTAAGTTACAAGGGCAAAATATTCGCAGCTTTTTAACTTGAAGATAGATTATTGCATTTTTGATCCTATCAAAGCGAGAATAAACAAGCACTGGTTTATTAATGGAGGCGAGTATCCAATGCGGCTGAGGGATCGCGGCAGTACATGTAATACATAAATTTGATCTTATCAAAATATTAACTTACTATTGTATTATTAGTACATGTAATAATGCAACGCCATAAAACGTTTTGCAATCTAATTTTATATTTTATTTTCCAATCGACTTTTTTTTTCTTCCAGACACTTAACATTTGATCCATGCGGGTTTTGATCGTGAATGCATTTCCAGCTTCAAGCAAGCGTGGTCGTGAGAGGTTTGAGCAATTCCGTCGCCATGTCACGCGCGTAGTGAGGGAAGTCCAAAAAGCGGAAGTCACGCGTGTCGAAATCGTGGTGAGAAAAGAAAACAAAAACTAGGTCGGGCTTTGCCTGTAATACTGATTATCATGTGTCTGCAGGAGAAGCACCGCAGCAATCTTGATTCATTCTTGTTCGAGCTTCACTCAGAGTTTGCTGATCCGCACAACATCACCAACTTCGATCAGCTGGATTTCGTTTTTGTCGATGGAGATTCAAATTCAAGTCCATGGGCACCGAACATGCGAAAGCTCACTCTGCTGGCCAAAATGTGCATGATGACGGGAAAATGTTTTTTTGGGAGTGGAATCGGTGCATCGCTACTCGCATTCGTATGCTCCACTGGAGGCGAGCTACTGCGCGTTATGAATAATGAAGGAAAAGGCAGCTTGCTTGACAGGTTGCAGGATATTCCCCCGCCTCCGCAAGAATGGAGACCAATCGGGTTCGTATCTCCTCGCGGTGGCGATAATAATGTGCTGCTCGACATTAAGAGTGGTGACTTTTTCGTTTTTGTTGAACGCGAGCACTCCTGGGCCCCTAAGGGTAACACTGGTCTTGTTCTCCATTCAAGCGACAGTGCACGTAGCTACGGGGCTCGACCGAACTCGGCCCGTGCTGGAAGTAAGAAAACGAATGTTGGACTGATCAGCCAGCCGCTTTTTCTCTCGAAACGAGGAGAAACTCGATGCTGTATCCGACTCGAAGTAGCAAACCAGCACCCAGTTATTACGACAACTTTTCCGAGAGAACGGGAGCTGGTTCTTAACTGTAAGAGCAAATGGGATCTGGACGAGGAGATCGCTACTACGGGTGGCAACAAGTATCGAGTTCTAATCGATAGCAGTCGCGGGCCGATGATGTTGGAGTTTGGAAATTGCCTAGGATCACACTTTGAATTGGCTAGCGAGTACCCGGAAACTGTAGCGTTGTTGCGAAATTTTACACTGGCGAAGTATGATGAGCTCAAAGTACATGCTCATATCGACCGAAGTTACGTATCAGCGATCAGCGGATCTGCTCGATTAAAGCAGAGACTTAATCAAGCACAAAACAAACACGCTGGATCCACTCAAATTCCACGTTTCCAAGGAACACTACCGAGCAACAACACGCATCTTGTTGAAGGACACGAAGGAATCGGAGTCGGTAGATCATCTCCTAAACGCAACCGACCCGTATCAGCAGGCCCTTCTCGAGCGAAGCCACATGAAGCAATATCAAGGCGTATCCATACATCAAGATCGGCCTATGCTTCTCCACAAGATAAAAATTCGGTTCAACAGGGCCCCGTTGGACACGTGAGTTTCGAAGGAAACAATGCCACGGATATACATTCCGAAATAAACGATCGACGCAGTACCGCTGCTCGCATGGATCTACTTAACCCCGAGACAGCTGAATCCTCGCCAAAGACAGTATCCCATCAGGCTAAACCACCACGAATTGTGCGTGTTCCCCAAAAGAATGAACTGGAAAGACTTTATTGCGCGCAACACCGCTTTGCCAAGATGCGCAAAGACGAAGAAAAACTTACTACTAATTATTATTCGGTGGTGAACGATGCGCCTTACGTAAGTGCCTACGAACAGGAAGTCGTCAACAAGCAGGTATGAACACTTTGGATGTAGTACATCTGCTTCGAGCTATCATGAACGACTGTGTCATTGTGTTTCACCAGAGAAGCAAGCTGCGATGGATAGGGGGGCCTTTCCGTACTGCGATTGGGAAGGCATCCACAAATGTGGTACCAGAGGCCAGCATCTTCATCAGAGACCCCTTTGAGCAAACGAATGTGCCGTTTCACATGACCCAGAGGCGACAATTTGACCCTAAAGAGAGGCAGTCAAGCGGAACCCGCCATCGGAAAGAGAAATAATTTTCGACACATCATCATGAATGCTGAAAAGCAAGTTGGTGTAAACACGAATTCATAAAGTTAGCGCCACACTTAACGCCATCATAGCCAGCATCAGACCGAAGACCATTCCTGGGCTCTTCCTACGCGCGTTCTTGCTTTCCTCAGCCGATTAATTGTACTGGGCAATAGCTTGGAGCAGATCCTTCGACTCTTGCACAAAGTTGACAGGCTCCAAGTTCACAACACTTGCCTTCACACGAAGTTCCTCCTGCACATTCTCAGCCTTCACGCGAAGTCGGCAGACATACTGCTTGAACAACGCCTCCTTGAAAATGGACTCAAAAAGTGCTGGGTTGGTGTCACGAAGCTCGCCGATTTCATCCGCTGTGCGACCACCCATCACCACCTTGCCTTGGTCGTTGAAGCATGTTGTCCAGGTGCTGCCGGTGTGGTCTAGCATAATCACCGAAAGGATGTAGCGGTTCTCGCAATTGGGGTAGGAAGTCTGGCATTTCTCGCACGTGTAGTTCTGAGCCACGTCAGCAACAACCTTCTTCTGACACTTGGGGCACGCTTGGTAGTAAATGCCCGTGTCATGTTTGATGAAATTCACCGTTCCCTTTACAGTGATATAATCGGGCTTCTGACCAAAGCCAAGCTGCTTGCTCTTAATATCGTTGATAACTGCACGCTCGGAAAAGCTGCCAAGCGAACCACCGCCAAAGCCACCACCACCGGAGCTGAGAGACTTTGTCTGCGTCGCATTGCCACCGTTGGAGAACCACGTGACCAGGTGTCCGGCTTCCGGGATCGTTGGATTGACAGTAAAGCTCGAGCTTCCCGCCGTGCTGAGGGACCGCCCGTTGAATTCACTTACACGGCAGCCCTTAATAGCCAAAACTTGGTTGAGCCAGTTAGAGCACTCCTGCTGAGCTTGCTCATTCCACATAGTGCACTTGATCTCCACGTTGGAGTCATCAACGAGCGAAATGTCACGCTTGAAAAGCTGCTTGCCGGCCTTGGACGTGAACTCATTCACTGGAGTGACGTCGCGCACAATGCCAATGATATCCACATTAGAATCGGCCGGCACGTTTTCGATTTCGGCGATTTTCTTGAAGGCGTACTGCATCTGCGAGATCTGACCATCTTCCGGGGCTGGGGAAATGTCTGAATGCGGGTCGAAAGTCACCTCGTAGTCGTTGTCCACCGACGAGAAGCGACGATTGGTCATCTTAACCTTGCCACCAGCGAAGTAGAAAATGCCACCCGGACGCAGCATTTCGTAGAACTTGTCCACACCGTCATTAAAGAAAGTGGCACGAATCTCACCTTTCTTGGCGTCAAGCAAGTCAACGCTGAAGAGCTTACCGGAGCCGCGAGAATTGGTCCAATTCTTGATCGGAGAGCGCGTCGTCACACGAGCCTTGATGGTCCACCGTCCGCCCGCGTACGGGTTCAGACTCTGGATATCCGACAGACGAATGTTTGGGTCTTGACGCACGACAGGTCCACGGTTATACGTAGATGCAGCAGGCTTCGTAGGTGGCGTGTAGCTAGACGGAGCAGCAGGTGGCTGTTGGAACTGATTGGTAGGAGCTCGGGGCTGCTGGTACGAAGGCTGTGCAGGTGCAGCCGATCTCGCTCCGAGAGCCGCTGCGGGTGGGACAGAGGCCGATGAAGCCGCAGGAACAGAAGGACCCCTGGAACCATCGATATTCTGGGGCGATCCAATGCAGTCAAAGTGCGGCACGATGTTGCCGACCTTAAGCACGATAATGATCCGACGGCCTTGCACTTCATTACCGAGGTAGTCCTTGAGCTGAAGCACGTAGTTTGTCTTGAGACTCTCGTTCTCCATCATCTGAGAAGTAATCATTCGTTAGAAGAGGAAATTGGAAAGAGTTGGGGTTTAAACGTACCGGAGCTAGCTGCGTCGCAAGCATTCCACTAAGATATGAGGTACCGTCGGATAGCACGATGCTGTGGTTGGTTTAAGCATAGCAACGGTGAGTGGGCTACACTCCATTAGAGTTGTCTGGGTTCGTACCGGTATCGATCGCCACCCGTGCCGCTGGCTGGCTTGATCTTCTTGGTGTCAATGATCTGCAGCCACGGCTCGAAGCCATCGGGTACCTGGTTATGGTACAGCATCGACACAGCGTTGGGCGTGAGGTTCACCATGATCGCTCGCCCACTCCGTTTCTGCTTGCTGGGTGGACTCGGTTGTGAGTTAAACGGTTTGGCGCCAAATTTGTCGTACTTAACGTAAACCTATGGATACCACATCATTTTCCAGTCACTTCGAAAATAGCTCAGTGTGTCGAAAATAAAATTTATTTTCGTGCAGACTATTTTCGAAGTGTGTACATTTTTTTCAGAATTAAAAATGGCATGAACTATTTTCGGAAATGGCTTCGCTTCTACTTGAGCATCTCTCGACCAAGGCGGCAGTGGACGACGCCATCCGCGCCACGAAGGACCGTGTGCTGGTGTTGCGGTTTGGCCGAGCATCGGACACTGTGTGCTTGCAGCAGGACGACATCGTGCGTAACAGGGCGGGAAAAAAATGCTACGTTTTTAGTTCTGACGTCGTAATTGTTTCCACAGCTGGCCAAATGCGAGCAAGAGCTGTCCAAGATGGCGCGGGTGTGTCTGGTGGAGGCAGAACAGATTCCTATTTACTGCCAGTACTTTGACATTACTCTCATACCCGCTACCATTTTCTTTGTTAACGGGCAACACATGAAAGTGGACTACGGGTAATATCCGCCATCACTGCTGAGCTCCCACGCTAGTACTAGTATTATAGAGCACAGTTTCTCACCTACTACAATATTCTATGGAGTAATGCAGAACACCGGACCACACCAAATTCATCGGAGCTTTCCACACAAAACAAGACTTTATCGATCTTGTTGAGGTGCGTCAGAGGGCATAGGCTCCAGCTGTCCGCTAGATTCGCTGTTAATGTTGCCTTGCTCACAGGTTATTTATCGCGGTGCAAAACACGGCAAGTCAATTGTGAACAGCCCGATTGAGAAGTCGCATATTCCCCAGTACGATCTCATCTACAAGGACATCTAACGAGATTGATGCGATTGAGTCACTTGAGTGTATTCATGCTTGGTGGAGGCACCACCGGACGATTGCGGAACAGATCTTGCACACGTTGATTCGTCTTCTTGTACGACTTTCGAGCATTGTCCACATTGCCTTGGGAGCGGCGCTGCTGCGGCGATTGTGAAAAGGAAACTACCGGTTTCGACGAGATCAGGGTGCGTTGATTTCTGGTTGTCGGGAGGGTGGCTACATTGTACTGCTGAAGTTTTGTCTGCGTGGGACAAAAGATTGATCGCTGTCAGGTTTGGAAGAGTACTTTTAGTGTTGAGGTATTGAAGACCTACCAGAGTTTCTGTGTCACTTGGGTTGAGTCGCAGTGCTTTTTGGTAGTCTTCGCATGCAGTTTGGTGCTTATCAAGATATCTTGCAGCATCGCCTCTTCTCACGTAGTAGTATGATACATTCGAGTCCTGCTCGATAGCTTGTGTAAATTCCAGCTCCGCTTTGTCGAATTGAGCTCTGTTGAACAGCTCCACGCCAAATTGGTAGTGCACCAGTGCGACGCGCGATTGAATGTGTTGGTCTCCTGGAAGCAGCTCTAGTGCGTGGTGGTAATCTGCCAAAGCCTTGATAATGACAACAATAAATTATACTCGCGGTGACATGGAGGAAAACCGAAATATACACACGCACCGCTTGGAAGTTTCCGAGTCCGCGGTATGCATCACCGCGATGAAGAAAGCAGTGTGGGCTAGTAAACTGCTCGCGGAAGAGCTCTGTGAGCTCCGTGTGACTGCGAATCGCTTGGTTCATCGCGTTTACTGCAAGCTGATACGACTTTTGATGCAGGAAACGGATCCCAATGTCAGTGAGAATAAGGCTCCGTTGTTTGATAATATCACGATATTGTGATGAGGTGTCTCGTTCTGCGTTGAGCCGCAGAGCTGGTACGTGTGCTGGTTTATTATAATTGTTGTCTTGTAAATTTTGCTCAGACTGCACGGTGTCTCTTTTGTGCTGATGGCAGCTTAAAGCTTTCTCGGTATCTCGCAACGCCATGTGATACTCTCCAAGCTCACGGAAGGCAGATGCACGTAACAGATAGAGCTTTGTCTCTTCGGGCGTAATTTCTGTCGCTCTGGAAAGGTTTTGGATGGCATCTTCAAACTGATGAGCCATCAACTGTGTGCGAGCCTGTTCGTAGATAGCTTGAGATTCTTTCAGCAATCGCTGTTCGTGTCCAAGTACCTCTGGGTGATCGGGTTGCAAAAGAGCTGCCTTGTAAATGTCGGCGTTCGCTTTCTCTTGCATGTGCAGTCGCCAGTGCAATTTAGCGCGCAGCACGAAGTATTCGACGTCACGGCTGTTGAGGCAAATACAGTGGTCGACGTCCAGTACAGCTTTCTCAAAGCAACCAGCCTCGATGTTCGCCACCGCTCGATGCAACCAGTAGACTTCATCGAGTGCGTTCAGCTGAATGGCCTCGTTAAGGTAGCCAAGAACAATATTAGGCGACTCCCCCAGGCAGAGCAACGAGTACGCATGAAGGTCCAGCAATGCCGCAAGTTGGTCTTTGATGCGCTGCGGTGGGTCTGGATTTACAGCGAACAGCTTCCGGTAGTTTGCAATCGCTGATTTGATGTCACATAGTTCCCAGTACACTTGTGCGCGTTTGGCATAAAGCTGTGCGTGCTCTGGTCTTAGGAATATGGCTTTGGCTAGGCATTGTAGTGCTCCATCTAGATCGCGGGCTGCTATTCGAGCGTCGGCTTCCTCCTCCTTCAGTCGTGACGCTTCTAAAGGGGTCAAGTCCAAAGCAATTTTTCTTGTGCTGGGAGCTTCCATGGTGCATGGGGTGGAGCTATGTGTAGGTGAGGCCTCCACAATAAAAGGGTTAACCACCGACCATGGATCCAAATTGAGATCACCCTTCAGCAATGTCGCTGAAAGGTCGAGCAGGTACGAAGCTTCAAAAGCGAGATAAATTTACCCTTGGAAGCTGGGCGCGATGGGGACTCAAGTGAAGCCCGTGGTGAAGACGTCCACGATGGAGCAGGAGCTACAGGACGAGGTCATTGCCGTTGCCCAAGTCGCTATGAGCACCGAGACGAACGAGCAGGAGATCGCGGCTAAAGTTAAACAGCATTTCGAGCAGAAATACCATGGGCTGCTGTGGCATTGCTGTGTTGGGCGCAATGTTGCCTGCTACGTGACCCACGAGCAATCCAAGTTCCTCTACTTCTACATCGGCCAAATGGCTGTTGTGCTTTTTGCCACTGCTTAAGCATAGACTCGGTACAAGAAAAGAAATCATATCATTCATGTCCACCGTGTCGTAAGGCATTTTTTGTTTATTTGCAAACTTACGTCAACCGTTATTGTCTCCTACGACGGTTTCCGAGATACCGTGCAAGATTTTGCAGAAGCGCTCTCTTAGGCCCGGCACACCACTTCATCCGAAGAGAAGTGGGCGTAGTTCGACACTGCCGCACAGACAGGCTTCGGCCACGCTCTGCCCTATTTGTCATCGCTGGACGAACCCGAGGAACACAAATATGTAGACCGCGACACCATCGCTGAGGTCCCCAGGCACGCTCGATTAGTGAGTACCCGCGGCTGTGGTAGTCCGGACAAACGTAAACCAGCCTGTTATGCCCAAGCAGCCCCTCTTCGCAAGGAGACACCAACTAGCGCATTTTAGTTCGCCAGAATATCGTAACTGAGAGATTACCACACCATTCACCGTCGCTCGAAAACTAGAGAGAACATCCGTCACGTTACGTGGGAGTGTAACTACACTGGGATAATCTGCATTTGCAAAACTCTACTTGTTCATATTTCTCGCTTGGCAGCCAGGGCATTAAACCGCATCTTGTTTCTCCCTAAAGTTTGCTTCGTCCGTATGAGTGAGTGGTGAGTGAGGCCGCCGGCGTATCGGCGCCAGTTTGCGTACCGGTTCATCATTCTGGGAAGCAGGGAAAAGGTCCGTATCGTCCTCATCAGACAGAAAGCCGTGAGCACTGTTTGCACTCCCACTTCTATCCCCTCGCTCGCGCCTCTCAAAGCCCTCTCTAGTGCTGATGTCTCTGTGAGCCGGAGTCCTCTGCACGCGTGGCAAATTCTGCCACGCACCCTCGTCAATTCGCCGGATCAGTTGAAATTGGTCCACCTTTTTGATCTTAAAGACCAATACTGCAGTGACATAAATGAGGACGACATTGATCCACAAAAGCATCAGACTTCCCACTGCGATCTCATAGAAAACAAGTTTTTGCTCTTCTCCAATAACATCGTCCGTCTACATTAGCGGAAAACAAAAGGAAAAACAACATTCAGAAGTGATGGCTTCACGGTTTGGTACCAGCAATACGCACCACAAAGTATTGCCCGATCATGACATAGGAGAAGCATATTCCGCAGTTAACAGTGGGTGGAAGTAGAGCCGCAGCGATGGCAACTCCGACAACAGAAGAGATATTAGCATTTAACTCAGCCAGCGCAACACCAGTGCCCGAGAGAGCGGCAACAATAGCGCCGAACAGGAGCTGAATGGCTTGCCCACGCTCGCGCATTTCGGCCGTTGGCCAGTTCAGCGCCACTGCGTAGGGGCTTAACAACGCCCCAATCATTATGCCCAGTAGAAAAGTAATTGTCTGAAGGCATAATGACAGCACAGTATTCATCAGCACCAGCGATAGATATAGGAGCCACGTAAATCCTTCATGTATAGTACTACAGTACGTACCAACGCAAACAGCTCATTCACCATTCCGTTAATGAAAAGATTTTTATCTCGCAGGGCAAATCCAAAAGCGCAGCCCAAAATCGGTCCCTAGAACCACCAGAAATCACCATCAAATTAAATTTTGTTATGGAAAAATACTGGCAATGCAACTTAGGCATGAAGACGCAGCGCACCATCATTGGGGACAAAAGCATTGAGGCAACGACGTACGTCTGCATGAAAATCGTAGTAGTATAATATGTTAGTTGTCACCAAGACTCCCCTTGCCTTAGTTGTCAACAATACCCTCGTTATCCTTACCCCTGAGTCTCCAGCTAGACCGATTCCAGCGATCGACCTGTAAGAGAGAACAATCATTAAGAGGTCCCATCCATCCCACCCAACCAGTGAGTAAACAAAGCAAGCAACTTACGACGAGATCAACAGCATCACCACTGAGTCCCGGGAAAGAGTAGAGTTTGCTTCAATGTGCGCGTACATCTCGGCCACAGGTACCGCAGTGCCCACGTCGGTGTTGCGTCCCAGGATGCGGCTCACACTGCGATTTTTCTTCTTGCTGTGGTTGTGTTTACGCATGGTGGTGCCTGGCGTGAGCGACATGACGTCGCAGAAGCCAAACTGCACGCCGACGCCCATGCGCTGCAGCTTGTTAAGGATCGCCTGCATTTCCTCGTCCTCGACACGGAACGTCACGATTGAAGACGTGCGGGCCTCCACACTCGTTACATTATCTAGTTTGAGCTCATCTTGCAGCACAGATACTACCTGAAGCCGCGAGATGATAAGGAGTTAGTAGTGGAGGGGGTGTAATCGGCGCCGTAAGCAGAGCGAGGTCGGTACCTTGCCGTGCTGCTCATTAGGCAGCGTCAACTGGAAGAGCTTCATGGGTGCCCCCAGCGCGAAAACGTTACATGTAGAGTGAGCATCAAATAAGGTACGAATTTGCGCGCGTCACATATTTTAGGATCATAAGTCCAGGACATACAACTATGCATCATCAATCCTCGGATTCTTCGGCGCTGTCTCGATCAGACTGTTGTTCACTGTCTTGCTCCAACTCTTCGTCTTCACTCGAGTCCTCCGTGTAGTCTCTATCTACACTGTTGGTCTGACCAAGATCACTACTGTCTGCCTCACCACCAGCATCAACACCTCCAATATCCATTTCCATGATACCTGCAGCAGTGTCGCCGTCTGCTAGCACAAGAGTCTCCTCGTCATATTCCAAAAAGTCTGTCACACTGTACCAGTAGCCTTCGTTTTGCTTGGCTTGGAGCATCTGCAAGTCTAGCGGTCGCCCTCTGACGCGGCCAAATACATACCCGCTAAGAGAATACCATTGACAAGTCATCAAATCCTGCACCTGAAAATGGTTTTCAGTCGTGAAAACACTCACCCACTCCTGTTCGTACTGCGGCGGTTCGCCGTTTACATAGTCGACAGGGTCGTATATCAGCAAGAACATGTCGCTAGGCTCGTGGTACGCTCGGATCGTACCGCTTCGCCAAAACATTCGTCGGGGGTCGAATCGCTGGAAGTAGACCCCAATAAAGATAGCCGCTCGTAGCGCCCGCTTTGACGTATCTAGCATCGGAGCCATGCACCAACAGTGTCCATTAAAGAGCTGAACGCGCGACGAATCGGCGTGAAAGACACTGAGCCACTCATGATCACCGTCGTCGTAGTTGATGCGGTGTCGATCTTTCTTCCAGTTGTAGCGGGTTATGCGGCCGTCAAACCAGCGCTGCTCTAGCGGCCACAACACACGACAAGGCATTTCGAGAATACTTTTTTCGCGAGCGTGATCATTTGGACGCATGTAGACTCGCTCGTTGCGAGATGGGGAAAACCAAAACTGGTCACCATACTCGTCCTGGAAGTCGCGCCAGTCATCGTCGCTCTCGGTTTCTGAAGCTGAATCGCGATTAGCCAAATCACGTGCCTTCCGCAAGATTACCTCCTGTTGAGCTCGGGCTACAACATCTTCATTGAGTGCGCTTTCGCGTAAACGCATTATCATTACGTTCAGCTCCAGTTGTTTTGAGTCAGGCTCTGAGTATCTTCGCCACGCACGCTGGATGGCACAAGCAGCACGGTGTCGTGTTTGAGCCCGGACGCGCTCAGATCTTGCATACCGTCGGCCAAAGTATCCGCGCACACCAGCATCGATATAACTAGCTGCTGCGTATTGAAGAGCATCACGAGCTTGTGCTTTCACACGGATTCGAATCAATTCGTTTTGACGACTTCGATGCCCGCGCCAGTTGCTTTGCAACTTCACTGCAAACCTCTCAAGTTCGCGAGTCTCTTCTAGCTGCCGCACAATAGCAGCACGCAATTGACGGTACGCACGACGTGTCGTGCGAGTTCGATAAAGTCGCTGCAACGTCACAGCAGCTACGTGCTGTTCTTGTCGTTGCCTTTGATTCAGCGTCATCAGGTCTTCAAAGCGAGACCTACCAAATCGCGCACGGTAAATGCTTTGTAAACGAGCTGCAGCAGCTTCACGCTGAAGAAAGCTTTGTTCCAGGCGGTATCGCTCCATAGCTTTACGCACGAGGACGAGGTGCCGTCGTGTCCAATATCCTCGGTACGCAGACTGCACTTTGATCGCATAGACAGCCCAAATAGTGAGAAGACGTTCCTCTTGTTGAGAACAGACTACAGCGGCCCGACCGAGAACCCCTCTAACCAAGCTTTGAATTCGCACGGCGCTGTTGTATATGAGCTTTGTGTGCTTTACACGGTAATCAAGTTCTCGTCTAAGATGCCAGCACATGTAACACCGCCGAATCTTGCTACAAGCTGGAGTTTGCACCATTGTTTCACGCCACGAGGCAGCGACACATCGACCTACATACCCTCGATAGTAGGCTTGAAGCCTCAATGCCGCCGAGGAACGTATTGTCTGTTCTTGAATGGAGTACTTGATCTGTAGTCCATCAACACGTGGTTCCAACCCACGATATGTACATGCTCTTTGTACGAATGGCATGTTCTCGGCTAATGTCTTTATACCGGTATCCGTGATCTCTTGACATCCCGTCAGATTGAGCGTTTGCAGAGCAGGACAAGCTGTTGCAAGAAGAGCAAGGATGTCCTCACGCATGTGCAAACACCCCTCCAGGTTCAAGGATTGCAGTGATGATGTACCCCGCATCATTGCTATTAGTCCGGCAGATGACATCCCGTAGCACCCGCTTAGATTAATGGTACGCAGATTCAGACCATGCTTTCCAATGTGTCCAAGTGTAGTGTTGGTCAATTGGTGACATCGCTTTAGACTGAGGACACGCAGAACCTTACAGCCCTGGACAACGTCCAATATTCCATCATCTGAAATGCGCTCGAGACCCTCCAAATTCAAAAATTGCAGTGCTTGACAGCCTACACCAAGAGCTGCAAGACCACGATCACAAATGGCACTTGTATAGGAAATATCGAGCGACAGTAGCCGACGGCATCGAGTTCGAGAGCTTTGAGGCCCCAACGCGCCGCCGACCCACCCCAATGCATCATCTGTTAGTGCTCTACAGCGTGAAAGATTCAGACGGGTTAACGAAGTGTTGCAACACGAAATGAACTCACGCACACCTTCACTCAAAAGGTGAGGGCATGACGAAAAATCGACTGCATCCAGACGCTCAATACCCGTAGCTAGCACCTGCAGCATCGGCACCGATAAGGTTGTGCACGAACAATCGAGCTGGCGAAGCGTTTCTCCCACGGCGTGCACAAGAGAGCGCAAGCCCACCTGTAATTATCAAACGGGTAAATTGTTAGCTGGTGAATCCTGACTGACCCACAATTGCGTCTACACGTACAGGAGTAAACCCGCTGCATTCGGAGAGAATGAGAAGTGAATAGCCAGTGACGGATCGGTTGGCTCGAAGCTGGTGTGCCATTTCGACCAGAAGAAAATCACTGATCTCTTCGGTGTAAGGTCGAAGGTCAAGGACATCGGGATCCCGCTGCTGCTGCAACTTCAGAATAGCTGTGGCGCGACCAGCCATCACCATTGCTGCCCGTTGGATCGCAAGCCTCTTTGCTTCTAGCTCACTTATGCTTTCGACATAAAGCGCGGGATTGTGGCCGTGGGGCGGGTTGGTCTGGTGCGTAGGCTTCCGAGCATTGGCGCCAATACCTCCGGTGGATGGCTTGCCGGCCGATACTGCTGGCATTTAGTTAGTCACCGAGTCGTCCGCCCATCCATAAGTCGTTTCACAATGTCATATTAAGTGATTCCAAATCCGACAAAGACCATTGAACAAGCAGTCTGTGGATGCATGTTAGTTTGACAGTATTGATGGGCGGCAGCATCATCTGTCTGTCTGTGCGTCGTATATACGTGCCTCCTGCCTGGTTCCATCCATTCCTAGTAGTCTTACTTACTGTGCAATCTTGGCCAGCGATGCGATTGCGTAAATCTTAATCTCGGAGCCACCGTCAACCTTGACAATACCATCCGAGGCATCTGTACCGATCAGCGAGCCCCTGGTGCCAGCCTCGTCGCCTGATAAGATGATCACCGTATCCTGCTTTTCTGGGACCACTGGCCGCACGTCGTTGAATGACACAGTGATCACACGACCGTCGACATCGATAGAGCATGAACCACTGCTCACGCTGGTGATGACTCCCACGCTACCATTGTGTTCACCAGCGATCACCTCAACCTCAACGCCCTTCATCTTCCACGTAACTTCTCCATTAGCAGGTCCACCCGCTGCGTCGTTTAGATCCTGGTTGAAAGCAGGAGTCATAGGAATTCCGCCGCTTCCCATCATGCCAGGAGTGGCTGCAGGAGTGGCAGCCGAGTTCATCCGACCCATAGGAGTAGCCACACCAAAGCCTGGGGTCATCGGATTGTGACTGTAGCCCGGAGTATTGATTCCCGGTGTCACCGGGTTGAGACCAGGAGTCATCGCTGACAACCCCGGTGTCGTTGGGTTGAAGCCTGGAGTCATCGGCTCCATTCCTATCGGCTCGAGGCCCATACCAGGTGTTGCAGCAGACAAATGTGCTGGTGTAGTCGGATTTAGACCTGGCGTCGTCGGATTATGGCCCATCATGTACGCTGGAGTTCTTGGCTGCAGTCCAGGTGTCGTCGGGTTCAGCCCAGGCGTTGTGGGGTTCAATCCCGGCGTCGTCGGGTTTACAGCTGGAGTTACAGGAATCATACCATCTCTTGTCGGAGACCGCGGGGCCATTGGCGTCGTCGGGTTCGAATATCTGTTGCTAGACATGTCACTAGACGGCGCCGTGGGTTCCAGTGGAACGCCGAAGCTATTAGCGTGGGTAATATCCTTCTCCTGGTTCATCTGCGTTTCAAGTAGCGCGTCATCATTCCCAACATTCCATGCATCGCCAGCACGTGCAGAAGATTGCGGAGTACCCATACCACGATGCAATGGAGTTGCCATCGGTGTCATTGCACTGCCATGGAGCGGTGTCTGCGACGGTAGCGGCGTGGCGCCAGTCATCGGAGTTCCAGCGTAGCGAGGCTTGTCCACCACACTGCCATCGCGTGTGCCAGCCACAGTGATGTGCAAACGATCGATGTCCACAACTTTCGCCTTGCAATGAATTTCCACCTTGACCTTTTGGTCGCTTTCGTCGACGACAATACCGATGTATCCTTTCCAGCGTCCCTTTTTCACCTTGACGGTCTGACCTATCAACTCGGACTCGCGCTGATTCCTTCCACCTCGTTGGTTCTGCTGGCGCATGCCGGCGTCCATTCGAGGCACTGTGGAGTTCGAAATCATATCGGAACGGGCCTTGCTGCCAGACAGGATCACTCCACGCGCACGTGTCACAAACATGCCCGAGTTCGTTGTGACGCGGTTGTTGTGAATGAAGAGGTATGTCCGGTAAATATGCTTCACAGTGCCGCTGTGACCGGAGAACGGCCCCTCCACCACGTTTACCATTTCTCCAACGCTAACGTGGTTATGCTTCTTGTCCAATGCCGCCGTCGTGCGCGAAGATACAATCTTGCGCTGCACTTCCTGGTCAGAGATGTTTCGAGACTGTCCATTCTGGCAAAGCACTGTAAAGCCCTCACGTCCGACATGGGTAATAACGCCCACATCACCGTGAGCCAGGGCAACGAGATCATAGAGCTCTTTGCCTTTGAAGGAATCAAGACCGTGCGAGATTTCCGCGGACTCCTGCAAGTCACGAACACGAACTTGGATTTCTCGCGCCATACTATCCACCAAAACAATGGCCACGGGAGCACCTTCGCTATCGTCCACTGCCACGACAGTACCAGTTTCACCGGAGTACATTCCAGATACCACCTTAATATGATCGCCCACCTTGACGTACTTCATAAGCTGCTTCAACTGGAAGTCCAAGATCGTATCCTTAATTTCCTCGTGAAGCGGCATGACGCGGACAGTGTCGTTGGCAGTGTTGGTGCTGAGTACGACACCCATGAGGTTAATAAGATCGCCTTCAATCACACGCACCGTATCACCCTTCGTAAGATCCACTTTGTTCTTCCAGTCGTCGGCTTCAACAGAGGCTAACATCTCTTCAGCAGTGTGCTCGCCATCTTCCCCAGCAACAGACGAGAAGCGATTGATCTCGTCTAATGACGGGTTCACATCTTCCGTCGTCAGCATAGTGGCAATATTCACTTCCTTGATCAGGAAGCCTTCTTGGTAGAAATCATTATCAAACGTATCCATCATTTCTCCCGTGGAGGGATACCGACGACGAGCTACGTCCGCCCCAGGGACCATGTTTGCGTGAAACAGCTTCTGTGGTGGGCGCTGACCCTTTTTGTACTTAGGCTGCTCACCTCCAGCTAGCACAATAGGATCAAGGCGCGGGATCATTTTCACCACAGCTCGCGCGCCATTGTCGAGAATCTCAATAACCTTGCAGAGGTCGCCCTTGTACAGTCCAGCGCGCTTCATTCGCGCCCAAGCACCAGCAACAAGCGGCTTCCTCCGCGTCTGAACATTGAGGACCGACGTCATTTCGTGGATAGGAACCAGTTTCATCGACCACTGCTGCACGTCACGCAGACCATTCAAGCAATCCTTAGCGTGTGGTTCACGCTCCGCCTCCACGTAGATAAAGCCCTTCGAGTTGGATGCCACCACAGACTTGACCATGAGAGGCTCGCCGCGACGCGCGAACTCAATAAATTTGTTCATAAGCGCCACCACGAGGTGCTGCTCACGGCCAGGTTTGCACTTGAATACCCACATGCGCGGGTCCTGGATGGAAGGAAGGAGCGACTGTTGCGCCACCTCGCTCTGGATAACGTCGCCACCCTCTTCATCACCGTCGTACTGTTTGCGGCTCTGCTGGTGGCGCTTCTTGATGCGGTTTACGATGGCCTCGGCGCTTTCCGACTCGTCGAACTGTGTGCGATCTTGAGGTTCATAGCGATACGAGTGGCCAGACTCGACTTCCTCAGCCATCTGCCGCTCAGAGCGATAAAAGTCGTCGTCATCATCTTCCTCTTCCTCTTCGTCTTCATCCACGTCGGCCTCCTCCTCGATAAACTTGTTTACGGGCTTGCGGCGCTTCTTGGGCTTGGGCTTGCTATCCGCGGCCTTACGCTTCTTCACGGGCGTCTCCTCCTCTTCCTCTTCGTCATCCTCCTCCTCCGGAATTTCATCTTCCGAGACGTCCTCGTCCTCCGACAGGTTGCGGTCCAGCTCCTCTTCGCTCGATGACATGTTGGCGGCTCACTCACGCAGCGCTCTTGGTTCGTTCTGGCGCGGTTTCCCCCCTCGCCGTTGACCTCCTAATGTTGATATCGGATATTGCAAATATGTGAGACCTTACTGAAACCAAGCTTAATCCGAGTATGACATTAACCTCTTGATACTTTCACCAATCCGAGTATGTTAGAAGGCTAAAGACACCTACTTATTGATGGTCGGTACCAAACTGTGTTCGGACATCAGGCGGCAAGAAAAGCGCCAGGTCCTCCCCCCGCATTCCGAGAGAAGCGACGATGGCTGCTCAAGTCGACGTCGAGGCCTCGGCGCCCAACGCTCCGATCAATATACTTCTGGGGAAGCCTACGTTGCTGGCACGGGTGGTAGCCTATGTAGGGTCTGTGGATACACGGCTGCTGGGTGCGTATCGAATGGAAAGAAGAAATGCTAGAAAGAAAGCTTGAGCGCTGACGGTCGATCTATACCTTTGTGTGCACGCTTTCGTTATTGCGCTGTAGTGTGTATTAACCGGAACTGGGCTAGGGAAATGATGAAGCCGTCGGTGTGGGAGATTTCGGCTGGGGTGCCGTACGAGCCGCTGCTGACCAACTGCTTCCGTCGCGCCTCCAATTATTGCTACCGAGAAGTGGACGCGCCCTCCCCGTAAGACCCCACTGATATACTTTAACTGCATTACCTTTCTTGGATAATCATTGGGATAAAGGTGTAGAAAATGCTGACGCTTGCTGCGCTTGCGACGACAGCAATGTGAACCGACGAGGGTCGCCCCCTGCCATTCGGGCTTGCTTACTGAATGAACGTACATCTATGCGGGAATACGTTCATGACTTAAAACTGATGACTGCGGAAAACGAGTGGTTTGATAAGTCCCCACGGACTTTCAGTCTGGATGGCGTACCGGAACTAAAGAACGAGGTGCATAAGAACCCTCGCACGGCGTTTGAGAATCCAGGCCTACTAAGCAGCCGATTCAGTCGAAGTCAAGAAGCACGAGTAGGTTGCAATTTATGCTTGCGCTGTGCTGGGTTTGTTGTGGTTATGGGGCTAAATATCAGATGAAATGTGCGCAGCTAGTTTCAGGCGATATTGATCAAGAGCGTGCTAGCTTCTATTTGTGGTCGCTCGAGAAGCAACACCTACGCGCTTCCATGTCTCAAACCAATGCTTCATGCTACGATGTGTGCGACGAAGCGCTAGCAGTTGGTTGCACCGATGGTGCGGTCAAGATTTGGAGCTTTTCCTCGCTTGAAAGTCGCAACCTCGATACAACGTCGTTGGTGAGCGCTTCACCTACAACTTCGATATCCCATCGTTCCAGTCTCGGAATGGTTCCATTCATTAGGACGCGTGCGAAGGACAAAGTGGTTAACGTTAAAATTGACCACAATGATGGCTCTTTCCTGCATCTAGCGACATCGACAGAGAAGGGAGAAGCTAACGTTTGGGATGTCACAAAGGGAGAAATCGTTGTATCCATCCCGTCCAGTAAGATACACAAGTCCATGCTTCCGCGATCGCAGAGAGAGACTGCCCCGCAGATCACGAGTTTGATGCTGCTACGTAACACACTCGTATGTGGTACATCGTGTGGTCTCATTCGTGTCTTTGATGTGCGCAGTAGCCGCCTCACACACCGACTCGCAGGTCACCCAGGTATGAAAAAATATCGTTCTTTGCCAGTGAGTGCTTGGTTGGCTAATGCTGATATGTGCTCTTGACCAATAATTATTAAACAGGCGCTGTCGTCAACGCAGATACTAAAGGACGAGTTTTGTGGTCTGCTGGTAACGAGGGCACAGTTCGATGGTGGGGTGGAAAGAGTGCGAAGATTTTGTCGAAATCAGCCTTGTGCGAAGGTTCCATCTCGGCGCTGGAGATGGATGAGACAGTGGTTGTTGCTGGCTACTCCGAGCAGGGTATGGAAGCCTGGGATGTGAGAACCCAGCAGTCATTGTGTGCATTTAGCAATCGGGAGCATGGGGGTGTTAAAGCCCTTCAGTTTGACAACCGCAAGCTAGTTAGTGTGTCATCGACCGGCAAGGTATGCTGCATGATAGCTGCAGTGTTGCTGCGTGCTTATTCGAAACGGGTACTAAAGGTATTTGTCGTTTGAATGCGTAGGCGGCACTCTGGAGGTGGTATGAGCCTAATCCGGTGCGATGGTTTGAACCACCAAATGCCTCTGCACGCTTCATCTCGACAAAGTTTAACGACCGGCACCTCGTGTTCGGTACCGACTGCGGAGAGCTTGTGGATTACGACCGACTCGCTACGGTTTTGTAGGCACTGAATGAACGCGCCGTTGTTTGTCAACAGGTCGCGAGCAGAATTTGAACAAGGATAGAATAGGAAGCTCTCCTCGGCGTACTCACGAAAAAAATCGTTTTGCCTTTAAAATGGCCCGCAACCTGTTGCACCAGTGCTTCAAAGTAGTATTGCACTGTGCGTGGTCTAAGAGCTGAGCGACGAGCTGCGTGAAGTCTTCTTCAAATACACGATGTTTCCCTTCAGCGCTTGATTCCGTTCCCCTGGTCTTACCACGACAGCAACACATGACTGCTGTACTTGGGATTGCGATCTCTCAATCAAGCTTGCAATTGGTTTGGGTGTAGTCGAAAGGCGTGAGTTATGCTCGTATGTGGATGCACCACCTGCAGGGTCTGGGATGCGAATGATCATGCCTGCTCCCGTGTTCAGCAGTGCTGCAGGTTCACGCACAGGTTGTAGCTGCACTGAGCTCTGAAAAGACCCCATATCGTTTTCCACAAAGCAGGCTAATTAGGGAGCTTATGTTGGGTCAAAGTCGATCGCTAACCCCCATTAAAGATATCGCTTTACTGCGCAACGGGTAAATAATTATCAGTACAAGATCTTTGATACATAACGCAAAACTCGTTGACGAGTTTGGGTTGTGCTCCTTTTTACATCGCTTGCTGCGAAGCTGAAACCTCCTGCTTTATCACTTTTTCCAAATCAAAGCCATCCTCAAAAGGAGTCGTCGTGGAATAACGTTTCCGAAATCGCGGTAAACCCTATGTAAAGGATCTTCGATCCATCACGCTCTTGCCTCACGCGGATCGGATAGCACTCAGCTTGGCGGTTTACTGGAATGATGCACTGACCGTCCTCCAGCGAGAAGGGCCACTTGTGCCGTGGACACGAGACGCACAATGTGCCATCAATGTCTTCAATGTCGCCTAGATGCAATGACGCAGCCTGGTGTGGACAGGCGTTTTGAATGGCATAGATCCCGCCACCATATTTGAATATTGCCACTGTCTTCCCGTTCACCTCCAGCTTTGTCCCTGAGAAGAAGAGGAAAGCTGTTGTCACTATTCAGCGCTCACAAATGATGAAGCGATCTCACCACAAACCTAGCGTAGTTGTCCTAGACCCCGGTTTGATGCGCTTGCGTCCAGTGACTGTATACTCGTATTTAGGTCTGTGTTCCATCGCCTCCACGACGTCTGCAACACAAGTGCGGCCAGGTTAGATGTAGATCATTGTCAGGCGTGAATCAGAAATGCACTTTACCCGATGGCCGCAAGTGCGTGTTGAACCACAGATAACGGTCATCATCATGGTCTTCACAGTTTCGACTCCGGTGCACCGGCGGCTCCGCCTCAATTTCTTCTTCTTCCCAGGACAGGTCTAGATGCAGGGGGCTCATCGCTTTCCGTCGGTAACAGTACTGTACGTACGTTATCAGCTTCGATTTCAAATTTGAACTGTGCAGACGCCGCTCGTTTTCGTACTTAATCAATCGCTCCTCCCAAAATAAATAGCCCGCAGAGCGATATTAGAATTAAAAGTTTACCTTCGCCAAATGATATTTAGCTCTCAGCGAGTGGAGTGGAAACCATTCTGGAATCTTTCGTAGCGCTGCAATGGCGAGCCGGTACGGGGACGAATTCCGAGGCCGCGGTCGAGACCGCAGTAGAGAGCGTGGGTACAGTGGAAGTGGCGGCGATAGAGGGTACGGCGGCCGATCGGGGGGTGGGGGCTATGGACGGGATCGTGCGGGAAGCCGACGCGGGGAGCAGAGCGGAGGGGGTGCTGAGCATTTGGCGCGCATTCACGGCACAGAGGAGGACCGCGTGAACTGTCCGTTTTACTTCAAGATCGGTGCCTGCCGACACGGCGACCGCTGCTCTCGACTGCACAACAAGCCCGTGTTCAGTCAGACCATCCTAGTGAGCCACATGTACCAGAACCCGATCGCGCAGGTGATCGCGCAGAACGGAGACCCAGCCTCGCTGGACCAGCGTCAAGTGGACGAGGATTTTGAGGACTTTTACGAGGAGGTCTTTGAGGAGCTGTGCAAGTTCGGCAAGGTGGAGGAGCTCAACATTTGCGACAATCTGGGTGACCACCTCGTCGGCAATGTGTACGCCAAGTATGAGGACGAGGAACATGCCGCGGCAGCTCAGAAATCTTTGTACGGACGCTTCTACGCAGGTCGCCCGCTCGTGTGCGAGTTCTCTCCAGTGACAGATTTCAGGGAAGCACGCTGCCGCCAGTTCGATGAGGGAACTTGCAACCGCGGCGGCTACTGCAATTTTATGCACATTAAGACGGTATCGCGATCCATGCAGCGCGAGCTAGAGAGAATGTTCAACCGCGGGAAACGTGACAAAAGTCGTAGCAGAAGCAGGAGCAAGAGCAGAAGCCGCAGTGCAAGCCGCGGACGCGGGCGGCAGTCGCGAGGCCGCTCTCGCTCGCGTAGTGGGTCGCATGATGCTCCAAAGGCCGAATCCTCCCGTCGCAAGGGCAGTCGTAGCTGCTCCCCGTCGCCTGCCAAGAAAGACCGTCGTAGTCGCTCACGCAGTCACAGCCCGCGATCTCCCGTTCGGGGCTCGAAGCGCGATACTGCCAGGACGGAAGGGGATGCTGTGGAGAAGAAGGATTGAGGGACCTTTTTTACTGCAGATTAGATCTCTTATTCGTTGCTGCATAGGTCGGGCTACCGAGAGGTGGGTAGTGAGACTGTCTGTTGCTGCCTTTGCCACCTTCTCGGTTTGAAACCTAATACATGAATCCATTCGAATGAGTCCAAATGTGAGCCAACATGTACAAACGTCTTCGGGTCAAAGACTTCAGTCGAACAGCGCAGGCCTGACAAAGTGTCAGTGTAACGTTAGTAGTAGTTTACAGCGTACAACGTAGTACTTGAAGTATGCGATATTCTTCAGTGTGCATCCAAGGTTACTTCTACTGTAGAAGCTGAACGAAGTACTTTGAGGTACATGTACAAGTTCGGAAGGTGCTTTATAGCTTCACAGAAAACACTTCAAAGAAGAGCTAATACTGTTGTCTACAGTACTTCAGTACTTATTAAAAGCCGTCATCATAAAAAGCATCCTGCATATGCTGCTTCCGCTTACGGTCCCCCTTCAGTTCATTGCTGCGTTGCTTCCTTGAAGCAGATTTCTTGTTGAAGACATCGCGCTATTCAAAGTCGAAAACGAAGCTGTCAGTATTTAAATCGCAACGTGTTGTATCAACTCGACGTACCCTGTCCACTTTGCGGTCTTCCAAAGTCTCCGGTAGGTCCAGCATCGCGCGAAGTATATTGTTGTACTTGATGTGTTCCTGAAGACCAGTCTGCAGACACTCCTTCATCGCTTCAAATTGTTTGACAGATTTCCACGAGCTGATCTCCAGCACCTCGTTCTTCACCGAAAATGAAACGTGCGGAGTTTCTCCGCTCTGTAAAACAATTAAACACTTTGAGCAACAACAACCTCAACAAAACTATGGGTTGCAAACTTTCACGAGCCTTACTGCAAGAGTCGAGTGAATGTCTCTGAAAACAACTCGTTGGGTCTTGCGATCCTTCTTGCTGTTCTTCTTGCTGCTGTCCTTGCTCATTTCTAAAAAGCGATCTAGGATCTCTTCGCTGTAGGGTAACGGGACACCGCAATTCTGTGCGCTTTCGTACAGGACGGCTACATTCTCACCAGCAGCTGAGCGAACTTCAACATCCTTGTGATCTAGCAAGGCAAGAAACTTCGGCACCAGTCTGTTCACGTAGCAGGGAAAAGTGGATGGTCACAACAGCTCAGACTCGATATTTTTACCGCATGCATATCTTCACCTTTCCAGCAATATGTCGCTGGCCAGCATCTCATCCGACAGCGAGGATGCGACAAGTCCCCACGAGTCGAGAGCGGCTTTACAGATGTCGCCAATGATTTTTGGGTTGAAAAATGTCTCGAAAAGTTCCAAAAGGTCCTTTGTGTTCTCTTCTTCAACACTGCACACGAAGCAGATCAGTCCAAGCGCGCGGATAGTCTGCGTTTCGATACAATGCATTAACGTTGGTCATCGGGGCAATGATAGGTGGGGCAGCAGTAAGAAACAATACATACCGAAACCTTAATTTTTGCGTTTCTGGCTGTCTTGACCAATGGCTTCAGCACATTTTTCGATCGCTGGAAAAAACGTTCCTCATCCTCTCCGAAGATGATTGCCATGATTGCCAGGATACGAGATCCTAATACTGCCTCGCTTTCAGAAGGCTTACGAAGGCACCCAAGCACGTTGTCCATGAAGCTGCTCGTCAAACGGTGTTAAAATCCAAAATCTTGTACTAGAAGGCACTACTCTAGCGTACCTCTCACTCACGTCTTCAGGCGACAGGTACTGCAGCAGGTGTGCGGTCAGTTTCTCGAGAGCGGCGACGCGTGTCGTTGTTCTGAGCATTTGTGCGCATGGCAATATTTCAACCCGTGAGGATCTATCGTATCTTGTTCTAACGATGTACCCTACGGACATACCTCTTCTCGGTCAGCTCCTCGACAGCATCGTCGATCTCCTGCTCGTCGTCCACATTCTTTGAATAGCCTTCATAGAACTCGCCGTCGTCCGACACGAACGTCCCACGCCTTTCCACCGATGCCACAGACGCGACCTCGTCATCGTCGTCGCCTTCACGGCGCATTCGCCGGTCTCCTGCACAGTAACGCCAACAAGTCAACAATCTGAGAAACACATGTTCGAGGTTCGAATTGAACGACCTGTGCGCTTCTTTCCCATGTTATCGCTTGCCTTGCTTGCTCTGGTGTCGGCGACAGCGATATGTCTCGCAGAAAAACAACTCCACTACACCATTGGATAAAATCGTTTTCTTTTTGACCAATGGGCTTAAACCAGATGGAGGTTTTAGAACACGAGTCAAATTCAAACGAAGGTGAGGAAGATTGCGAGGTGGGGGCCGATACTGGTGCCCCCGCGAGGAATATTCGGCGTGCTAAGGATCCCTATGTTGAAAACAGATCGACTGCGGCCTGGAAACGTACTGCAGTAGATCCAAGAGAAAACTACTTCTATATCACGCTGAGTGAGGTTGGTGTCTGTGTTTGCTATGTGTAGCTTATATAGGCTGGAGACGAGCAGCTAGTGCTGCAAGGGCGTAGACTTTAGTATTTATGCTATGTTGTCTTTCCGTCACGACGCCAGCGCCATGAGCTCGCACTTTGTGACGGCGGGGGATGTGAGTGAGACTGCTGACGGTGTGCGGAACTTGGTGCATGTCACAGAGAACGCCATGGACATTGATCAGACCGGCGCCGCATCGATCGACGAGGGGCTCTACAGCCGCCAGCTGTACGTGATGGGCCGCGAGGCTCAGTTACGCATGGGGGCATCCAATGTGCTCATAGTTGGGCTTAACGGCCTTGGTGTGGAGATCGCCAAAAACGTCATTTTAGCGGGAGTGAAGAGCGTTACGCTGCACGATGATACGCCTGCCAGCTCTCTTGACCTCGCGTCCCAGTTTTACCTGACAGAGGCTGACATTGGCAAGCCGCGAGCGGCTGTGTCTGTAACGAGACTAGCGGAGCTGAATCCTTACGTGCCTGTCCGATGCCACAGCGGCGAGATCTCGAAAGATTTTTTGCTTGGATTCCGGGTGCGTGCTAAATGGTAGCTTTATGTATTGAGGTGCGATAGTCTAATGGACTGGTGCGAAAATCTTCTTTTATTGCCTCCAGGTGGTAGTTCTCGTCAACGCCCCGCTGAAGGAGGCGAAGCGTATTAACGCCTTTTGCCACGATAAGTCAGTTGCTTTCATCACGACCGAGGCGCGTGGCGTGTTTGGCTCGGTATTCTGCGACTTCGGAGATGAGTTTGTCGTGTCAGATCGCGATGGTGTGGAGCCTGTGAGCTGTTTGATCTCGTCCATTTCCAACTCTGCCCCCCCATTAGTTACGGTGAATGAAGACACCCGTCATGGCTTGGAAACCGGGGATTTGGTGTCGTTTCGCGACGTGACCGGTTTCTCGTTCTTGAACGACAGCAAGCCTAGAAAGGTAACGGTGACTGGCCCGTTCACGTTTACCCTGGATATCATTGATGAAGCCGACAAGAAGCTCTTTGAGCAGGGACCACCGTCCACGGGGGGTTATGTTACTCAGGTAAAACAGCCTCTCCTGACCAAGTTTAAAAGCCTGGAGAACGCGCTTGCTGCACCCGGGGAGTTCTTGATCAACGATTTTGCCAAGCTTGGACGCTCCGAGCTTCTTCATGTGGCGTTTCAAGCATTGGATGCTTTTCAGGAGAAGCACCAAGGAAGCTACCCGAAACCAGGTTGCATGGAGGACGCGAATGAGGTTTTCACACTTGCTTCTGAGATCAACAGGCAGTCTGCTGCCAAAAATCAGTTTACCATTGAGAATATCGATGGCGCTGACTCAAAAAAGATCATCCAAGCACTTGCAGCTGGCGCTTCTGGCGTGATCTCCCCTATGGCAGCTTTCCTCGGAGGTATCGTTGGCCAGGAAGCTCTTAAAGCATGCAGTGGAAAGTTTACGCCAATTCAGCAATTCTTTTTTTTCGACGCGGTGGAGTGTCTCCCGGACACAGTATACGCCGGAGTTCCCGACGAGTTCGCGCCCACTGGCTCGAGATACGACGGACAGATTGTTGTGTTTGGCCGGCAGCTGCAGGAAAAAATCAAGAGTCTGAACATGTTCCTTGTGGGCGCCGGTGCAATCGGTTGTGAAATGCTGAAGAACTGGGCGATGATGGGTGTGGCGTCAAGTGAGGATAGCACCATCCACATCACGGACATGGACACGATCGAGAAGTCGAACCTGAACCGTCAGTTCTTGTTTCGCTCGAAGGATGTCCAGCAAGCTAAGTCCTCGGTTGCTGCTCGGGCAGTCAAGGAAATGAACGCAGACGTTAATGTACGGGCTTACGTGTCTCGAGTCGGTGCAGAATCTGAAGGTCAGTTCAACGACGACTTTTTCGAGTCGCTCTCCGGTGTGTGCACAGCACTGGATAACGTCGAGGCTCGTCTGTATATGGACCAGCGCTGTTTGTTCTACGGTCTCCCAATGTTCGAGTCCGGTACGCTTGGCACGAAGGGCAACACACAGATTGTCGTCCCACACAACACTGAGAACTACGGAGCCTCTCGGGATCCTCCTGAAAAAAGTATTCCCATTTGCACGCTGAAAAACTTCCCCAACGCGATTGAACATACTCTTCAGTGGGCACGCGATTGGTTCGAGGGTGAATTTTATCAAGCTCCTTCGGATGTGAACCGTTACTTAGAGGGGCCCACATTCATGAAGGAACTCAATGAGCAGCAAAACACCAAGGTTGAAACCCTAGAGCGGCTGAAATACTCGCTTGTGGATGATCGCCCGATGTCATTTGAAGACTGCATTTCATGGGCGCGCTTCAAGTTCGAAGAACTTTTTAGCAACCAGATCAAACAGCTTCTTTACAACTTTCCTCTAGATCAGGTACGCGCTCCTTATTATTACTGCTTGACCTTACAACAAACTAGTAAACCTCGTGCTGCATAGTTGACAACGACAGGTACTCCATTCTGGTCTGGACCTAAGCGACCCCCAACGCCAATTACCTTTGACGTGAAAGACCCGCTTCACATGGACTTCGTTGTTTCCGTTGCTAATAGTCGTGCGAAGAACTATGGTCTTAAGGGACACACTGACAGAGACACGTTTGCCCAAGTCATCAGCGGTATTCACGTTCCGGAATTTTCTCCCAAGAAAGGTGTGAAAATTGCTGCTTCTGATGCAGAGCTAAAGGAACGGGGGGCTGCCCCACCTCTTGATGACGCGGATGCCCAGTGCGACTTTATTCTCAAGGAGTTGCCGAAGCCAGCAACGCTCGCAGGCTACCGCATGGAGCCGATTGAGTTTGACAAAGATGACGACTCGCACATGGAGGTTATCGTGTCTGTTTCCAACCTGCGGGCGCGGTCGTACAAGATCCCGGAGGAGGACATGCACAAGTCTCGTTTTATTGCTGGCAAGATCATCCCAGCCATCGCCACAACGACAGCACTTGTGACAGGACTTGTATGCTTTGAAATCCTAAAGGTGTTCCAGGACAAGCCATTGGACCACTACAAAAACGGATTCGTGAACCTCGCGTTGCCGTTGTTTACCTTTGCCGAACCGATTGAACCAAAGTTTACGAAGACAATGCTTAAAGGCGAGGAGTACAAGTGGACGGCGTGGGATCGTTTAGAAGTGGACCGTGGTGACATGACGTTAAAGGAGTTTCTTGCGTACTTCGAGAAGGAATACGACGCTGAGGTCTCAATGCTGTCGTATGGTGTCACGATTCTTTACGCAATGTACTCTGCGAAGTCGCGGTCGAAGGAGCGCATGGCGATGAAGATCTCGGATCTCGTGCGTACAGTGACTAAAAAGCCCATCGACCCGAACTTGAAGTACCTCATTCTAGAGGTGTGCGCGATGGATGCAGAGGGAGAAGACGTTGAGCTACCTTACCTGCGCTACCACTACAAGCAGCAGTAAATAAGGACGCTCGACCCTTGTTTTAATATGGTAATGAAGCTTCAACTTGCCATTGCTGCGAATATACATGTAAAAGTCTGTTACAGAGTTTTCTTGAATATCAATTGTTACAGTTTTTTTCTTGAATATTCCAAGTTAAATTGTTGCTCCGATATGGCGCTAAACGTGGAGTTTAATCGCCAGTCCAAGCGCGTGAAGGTCACACCCGGCACGACGATGGTGTGTCTACTACACTACCCTCCCTTTGGCTCTCGCTCTAACCTCTGTATGATCGTGCAGTTCCAAGTTCTAGCAGAAGCACGGGAACAGTTCGGATTGAACGACTCGCGACAGTACCAGCTCCTGCACCGCAGTAGACCCATCGACCTGTCAATCCCCTTTCGTCTCACTGGTATTTCGAACAATGCCTCCGTTGAAATGAAGGAGCTGGAGGGGGCGGACGAGGTGCAGCAAGTGCGCGTGTGCGTCCAATTGAGTGACGGCAAGCGTGTCCAGGCATCTTTTGGGAGCGACGCTACCATAGAACGCATCCTAACATTCTTTAAGCTGCTTCCTGCGCCAGAGCAGGTGATAATTTACTCAGTTATAAGAGAATTGTGAAGTGTGATAGAATTACTGAGCATGCTTGTGCGTGACAGTTCTCCCTTGGATTCCTGCGACGTGAGGTTGAATCACATGCTTTCGCGACGACCACTCTGGCAGGTACGAAATACCTTTATTGTCGCGATATCTACACATTTTCTCTAGCTACAATTTGGTGTTTCTTTAATGTAGATTTGGGCATACTAAGTGGCTCAGCGATGTTTCGCGTTCAAGCTACAGATGGACAGCCGAGCTCCACTCCAAGCGCTCAGAAAGCTTCTGTGACAGCTACTCATAGCATCACCGCGTCTTCACAGAAGTCTCATGATTCGTTTGCATCTACTACGCCGAGCCCACCCTACCAGCCTGCTGCTACATCGGAAACGTTGAACCGTGTTCTTCAGCCGCAGACTGAGGACGTTGAGATGAAAGAGCCTGTCGGTGAGAAAGGAGCAAACGATGAGGAGAGTATTATCGGCAGTTATGATGCACTGCAGCTCTTGCGAGACAGCAACTTTGATGCAGTATCGCGGACAGCTGTCACGACACTGATGAAAATTATCACGAATGTCCTATCCGATCTAGGTAAAACTCGTAGCCTTTGTCTTCTCGTTGGCTCTAACAAGATTTATAAACTGTTTGTATCATGTGTACAGAAAATGATAAAGTGCGCTCGATCCGCTTGTCAAATGCAGCATTCACTCGTGCAGTGGGACAAGTGAAGGGGGGCCTGGACTTTCTTAAGTCTGTTGGATTTGCAGTGATCCCCGACACACAAATGCTCATGCTCAGTCCTAGCCCAAGCGAAAAAAGCGTGCTGGAGGAGGGTCTCCGATTGTTGAGCGTTGAGGCAGATGATTTGAGCATCTCGCCGGACACGCGCCCAGTTGTTCGCGAAAAGAAGACAAACCCGACTTTTGACGTGTTTCGGACGCAGATTACCCGAGTGCAGGTACGGCTGCTACAAGTTCGTACCAATTGGACTAAGTGATTCTGTAATCAGATGCAACCTCGTGGCCCAAGTACGACTGAAGTTCTTGTTGACGCTTTAAAGTCGAAACAAGACCAACTGCTTGGACACGAGAAGCCTCCTCGCAACACAACTGTTGTTCTGGGAGGAACACGAGCAAGCGGTCAAATGAACTCGGTAGAACCCCCCACTGAAGGCGGGCTTGGTGAGCGAAATGACACGCAGTTACTAATTTCGAGTCTTAGAGCTCGACGGGAGGAAATGGAAAAGACGAAGGTGCGCTCGATTAATGTTTTGCTACGATTGGTTCGGGGGATTGATTGGTGGTACGCGCGGCGGATGCTTTTTTAATGATTTATACCCAGAACTTTCGTACTCAGGCGATGCGTGAACTTGACGAGCTTAAGCGTAAAAAGGTCTATCAAACCGCTTTAATTCGAGTTCAGTTTCCGGACCGAGGTATGTGAATGTGCACAACAGGGGGGACATTGAGTAGAATGTATCTTACAGTATCCGAATCGACAGCTGTCGTGCAGGCCTCTTTCCACCCGAACGAAACGATCCAAGACGTCATGGATCATGTCGCAGAGTGCTTGACGGATCAGTGTAAACCTAACAGGTTTTACCTCTACGTAACGCCTCCGACTCAGAAATTGGCGACTACAAAGACCCTGGCCGAGCTGAACCTTGTACCTGCTGCTCTGACGTATCTCTCGTGGCTGGACATGCCTCAAGCCGAGAATGCTAGCATCGGTTTTTACATTCGTCAGGATCTGGTAAGTGGTGCTGATCTTGTGTCGAATGGACTACGTTATTAATCACTAGTGCTTAGTTGATGGACCAGCATGCCGAATCTAAGGGAAGTGTGGACCCGTTGAAAACGGTATATCCAAAGCCGATGGACCTTGGTATGAATTGGAAGGAATATGTTTTCTGTGACTAGTTTGCTAACTTTTGAGAAAATGCTACTGACATTTCCTACAGAGACTCGTCCCAGCGCAAAATCGCCCGTTGGATCAACATCGAGTGCGCAAGCGAAATCATCGAGTGCGCAAGCGAAGTCTGCCAAGAAACCATCTTGGCTCAAACTCTAATGGCTGCTAACTTCCTCGTTGAGATTAAGTGAAAAGGTTTCTGCTTTATTTGTGCGCCTATATGCCACCATTATGCTCAAATCAACGAACGAGCATAGCTGTTCAAAACTAAACACGACCCAAGTGTCAAATCTGCAGCCTGATTTTCCTTCGGCTCGGTGGCTACCGAGTTTTCTTTGATGGACTCTTCCTTGACCACGGTTTCCTTCGCAACCTCCTGCCGATCTACTGAGACTTCTTCGGTCAAGCTCTCCATCGGCAGTGAAGGCTCAGAGGCCACCACTCCCCGGGTAACCACTTGTCGGTCCTCGGCCGGCTCCTCCGGAGCCTTTTGTTGGTCTGCTTTTATGTCATTCCCCGATAGACGAGCTGGGCTTACGGATCGACTTGATGCAGCAGTTGTCGAGCCAGACACACTAACGAGCTCCCGTTTTACATGTTCCTGGTGCGCGATTCGTAGATCTCGCATCTCTTTCCGGAGCTTGAAATTGAAGCCATGCTTAGCATCTCGAATGTTGAAAAGATGGTAGTACTTAGCCCACTCTAGCTCACGCGTTGCAGGGCCCGTCCGAACAGCCATCTTTTCAATAGTAGTTCGGTCACCCATACTGACATGAGCTGTCAAGGAAAGGCGCCTAGCGGTGCTCTTGATTTCCTTCCCCTGTTGAAGCTTTTCTTGCATAAGAGCACGCTTGCGCTGCTTGATCTGCTCCTTTTTCGTAAGCTTTTTCACAGGCGATTCGTGTGCTTGGTTAATTTTCTCCGGTGCCATGGTTCCGCGACAATTTTTAGCCTTGCAGTGGCATTTCCACTCCATCGCCTGCTTGGTATGGAATTGGTAGTCGTACGACAACTCAGTACCCGGCTCGATGTCCTTCAATGCAGTGATAGCGATTCGGTTCACCCCCTTTACACGCCACTTCAGTAAGTGGCAATTGGGATCACACGAGTGGTTAATAAACCTGGACACACTTCCTTTAAATCGCGCATCGATGTACTCGCCCTTGCCCAGCTCCATAATGTACATATTCTTGTCTTCAGGGCTATTCTTCGCGTGGTCAAGCAGCCGGCGCTCCTTTTCTTCCTCATTAATAACCTCTCCAACGTACTCAATCACTAGCTGTCCTGCCTTGGCAGGTTCTAGCAGGCGGAGGGCCCAGCCTTTCTCGACTGTGTGAAACTTTTGGAAGCGCGGGTACACCTTCTGGTGAAGCGCGCGATTCCCGCAATTCTCGCCAAGCATGCAGTTTGATTCTCTATTGTGCTTGTTGAACTTCATTCCTGGAGTCGGCGCTGGTCCAAAACACTCCGTAAAACTCAGCCGGTTAATGCAGTCATCTCCGCACCTTTCCTTGCAAACACACGTTGGCGCATCCTCTAGCGAGACCTTCGGCTGTTTAAACGTGTAGATGCTGCGACCCAACTTGCGGTAAGTTGGCGGTTGTAGACGAACATCCTCGATAATATTCTTTAATAGGCGAAAGTGATGACAATCATTTGGGTTGCTGGCATCAGGGTCGCGCTTTGGCAAAAACATCCAAGGGAGGTGCAAACTGGAATCCACTGTCACAGTGTCAATGTTCCGGTCGGAAAGGTAAAAAGATGGAATCTTCGGTAACTCTTCTGCAAAGTGTCTCCAGCAGAGTAAACCAACAGAATTGTATCGAGCACTTGGAGGTACACATTGCGGGTGATAAGATTCTGGACACTTCAGGCAGCACATGAGGTCAGGACTTTTTTTCTTCCCCTCGCATACGAAACAAACGTGCCGAGGGCATCGGAAAGATGCGTCTGACTCCAGCAACTCTTCCATTGATGTAGAGCCAGGCTTGGTTTTACCCCCAGCACGACGTGACATTTTGTTGGCATCGATGCAGGTCTGGTGAAAGAACTTGCCGCAAGACGGCGCACTGCAGCGAAACACACCTCCCTTCTCGTTTATCGTTCCATTGCGTCCGCATGAAAAACACAACTGCTCATTCGTACGACACTGTTCGCACAACCACTCCTTTCCTTCAGGTGCCGAATCGATACCCAGACAGGAGAAGTGATACGATTTGAGGCAGCCACCATCGCACAAAATCATGTCCGTAAGTTCATCATCTTCGATTTCACCGCATACTCCGCATAGATCTTCTTCTGGGAATCCAGATTCAACAACCGCCGCGTCCTTTTTCTTCTTGGGGGGTGCCTTTGGTTTAAGAGCTCCGTTTTCAACACGTTTAGTAATCGCACGCCCAGATCGAGTGAGACCAGTTTGAACAAATGCCGGTGCCAGTTCCTGCTGTTCCGCCCCAAGACGTCCAAGGCTACCATCCACTGATGGTGTAGCCTCGACCTTCTTTTCAACTTTACGCTTGTCGATCTTGGCTTGATGCTTTGCCCACGCCGTAATAGCTTTTGTGGCTCGAGCCTGGATGCGGCTGCTGCTAGATTTGGCTATCTTTTCATCACACTTGACATTCCAGCCCATGTAGTGAACAGTGAAGCCATCCTCACCCAAGTGCACGATCTTGGCTGCCAGCCAATCCTTGGTACGCACGTCATACACGTCCACTTGCTGATTTACGTCAAGGTTGCGGCAGAACTCTTCATGAGTGGAAGTGTCTTCTTCACTGGCGTGAATTGTATCGTTACCAAGAAGTTCTTCCTCATTCTTTGCCTCAATCATCTCAACGTCATCTGAGCTGTCGCCCACAGTTTCGTCTGTGGTTTGTCCGGAGCTCGGCACGGTACTCTCATCATTTCCAATAGCGGCGCGCTTTCGTAAGTGCGATTCATGCAAGGCGGTGTCTTCTACGCCCTCCTCATGAGCGCGCTTGTTGCTATCACTCGCTGTCTCCATAGTCTCGACGTTTTCGTTTTTGATCGGTGTATCAAGCAGCACTAGCGTCGCAGCTGTTGCTGCAACCAATTCACCTTCCACCCCTGTAGCGCACGTACCCTCCAATTCATCATGTCTTTCAACCAAAGGCTTACTGGAGACAGGAGCACCTTCCGTCGTCTCGAGATTGTCATTCACAGTCGAAGCGACACCAGGAGTCACACTACCCGCGATCATTTTTTTTTCGTCGCACGTCACACTGGTAGTAGCAGTGACAGGTTGAAACGCCGTAGTCTGCGCCTCCTGCTGGGGGCCGCCTCTGGCTTCGTCCATCTTATCGCCCGCGCAAAACAAGGCAAGACTCCCTCCACTGCCTTCTGCGGTCTTTTTTTAAACTAGGTGTGGGCCACATGAAGCACGTGAAATTTCAACCAATAAAAACAATCTAGACAGTAAGTTTCTGGAATAACACAAGGCTTTGAAAAACAAGTTCTAGACAAAATCTGAATAAATGACGGATCGATTATCGATCGGTAATTTATCCGTCATTTATTCAGATTTTATCCAGATAATCGTTATTCAATCTGAAGTTCCCTTGTATTGCATGTGTGACCGCTTAAAACTAGCACTTTCTGGAAATAGGTAAAAAAATTCTTTCGAACGGACCTCATTTCCGCTTGCCATGTTGAGCCAACAAACTCGCTCTTCTGCAATTGGTACGATGATGTATTGTAAAACCTCTACAAGTAGTACGTACATGTACAGCTCACTGTAAGTGCAATAACCACGTAGGATCGCTGCTACCCTGCGCATCTAGCGCTACTACGCTGTTGGCTGAGCGCTGTGAGCGTGCTCTACAGCTTGCTCTTCAGGAAAGAGAGGCCCATCTTCGTGTCCATACAACGAAGAGCTCACAGCGATCAAGTGCAACTGTGGTGTAGGGATTTCCAGATTCGGCCATACATCAACCTACTTTGGACAGCCCCCAGAGCTTAGGAACAAAGTATCACGGTAAGTACTAGGCGATCTGTCCGGATGCTGATATCCGGATAGCCGCTGAGCTCAGCGGACACTACAATCCAAGATCGACACGTAAGAAAGCGAGGCAGGAAACGCAAAAATCGGCCCCGTCTCTCCATCCACTAGCGCTACTTGTGACGACTTTCAAAGTCAATTTATTGGTCACTCTTCTTTGGCTGTATATGTAAGTGCAATTATGGACTCGTGGAGATTGCAGCACAGTTTGGGTACCAATACTCGTCTTCCTGTGCGGACTAATACTGTTAAAGGAATTCTAAAACAGAAAAAAGTGACGGCAGTTCAACATGAAGCTGCCAAGTGTCAAGATGCAGGCGAAAATACAATGTTTGACGCGACATTTGATGGTACAACTCTACAAAAAATTGTTGATGAAATGTTTAATAATGAAACAGAGGATGGAGTTCGTTATCATGCTGACATTTTACTCTAGCTGGGTTTATCTTCACGTGGTGATGACATAAGAAGATTATGTTCACCGCACATCGGTCTCATTTCGTTCAAAAATGAAGGTGTTACTGGAGCCAGCCTGCTGCGCACAGTTTGGCAAAAAAAAAACAGTATGGGAATGTGGAGGAGACAACTTTGATGAGACATAAACTTGTTAAGCGCTGTCCTTTCAGCGCACTATACCTCTACGTTTTCAGAGCTGGCATGTAGGTGACGAGTCTTAGCCGAATTTTAGTGAGCGATGATACTGGTATTCTATATTCGTTCGTAAAGGTGCTGGACCAACCACCCCGGCGATTTATCCCCAGCAATATTCGGCGTTGAAGGAGGTGTACAGCTTAACTGGAGTGCAAAGTACTGTAAAAACACAGCTTGGCCGAAAACAAGCAGCCGCAGTTGAGTCCGGTGGAGCCTCAGCAGAGTCGGTCGATAAACAAGGCCACTGGGCAACTAAAAGTCGAAATGGGGCGTACGCCAGTCAATTTATTCCATTTGACTGTGCTCGAGTCCTCGCTGGCTTTGGCCCCGATCCTAAGCGATATTACATCCATCACCTCTGCAAGAGCTGATATTTCCTCAAAAAGCTGAATCTAAAAATGCATGCTATCCAATGATCATGAAATTGCTGGAAAGAGCTTTATAAATCTTTTAAAATAAATGCGGGTCGTGATTCTTCAAGACGTGGACGTTTTAATGTCGATGAAGTACAAGCATCCACTATTCTTGCTCCCGATATTCAACACTGACTTATTTCACTCTTTCCGAAATGAGCTTGAACAAAAGCTTTCGACCGCACCTCATCCCGAGAACGTCCTCCTACAACAAGCAATGCCAATTGTATCAGAGGATACATCCAAATTAAGAGAAGCAACCACACAGCTTTTTCACCTCATCACCACTTGCTTTGACCGACTCACCTCCGAGCTAAAGCAGACAACAAGATCTCAGCAACTTGAGCTCCAACTGTGGTATTGGAAATCCCACGTGAACTCTAGCAACAAATGTAGTTAGGAAGCTCCCACTACAATACATCTGCTAGGACAGCAAACGATCGTTCGGGCGGACCTGAAGACCCCAGTTCTACCCTTGCATCGAGACAGACTGAACCTTGTAAACTACTTATATAGGCCATCCAAAATAAGAACACGCTACTAGCACGAGCAAAGCTAATTTGTGCTATGAATCCTCGTGGTCCCAAAGCGAAAGGGTACCACGCACGGGTAAGAAGTTTACGAGGGAACCGAGTGCTCAGCACTAGATTGGGGGGATAAAATGGATGTAATACAAGCAATCCTAGTCGTGCATATAGGCAACAATAAGCCGTCACGTAAACCTCCTGATAGTAATCGGCCAAAACACACACAGTCTCTAGGCCTTGCCGGATGAACCCTTGCTACAGAGCTTCGGGTGCACTGACAGACATAACACACTTAAATAAGCCTGACCAGACGCTTACCTTGAAGCCGGACGTCGCTCTGTGTGCTTGAGTGGAAATTCCGTTCTGTATTTATATTTTTCCTATCGGGCCTATTACTCTTAAGAATCCTAATTATGTTTACAAATATCAAGTGAATTATGATCCGTTATGGAGCTTCTTGTACGCCAAGCGTCGTCTGCAGCGTCGCATGCGCATCTTTAACAGCTCGCGCCCTTTCCGAGACGGCGACCGTGCCTTCATCCTAACCGCCACCGAGGGTTCGTACCGTAGACGGTCAGCTCTTGGCTGCTGAATGCGAATCCGGCCAGTCCGTTATTAATAATAACGACATCCTGAATTGAGTGACATCTGGACCGTATGCAATATCCATTGAGTGCTCGGTAGTGACATCGTCGAGTCTCTTGCACCTTGGAGTCACCGTACATCATGTGACCGAGTGCTCATCGCTTGAGCATCTTCTTGACGGACGATTATCCGTAACTTTGAAGATGTCACTACAACTGCCCTTGTCGCTATGGAAGCCACGGTACTGGTGCCCGTTGTGACATCTTCTTCATTCTCCAAATCACCATCAAGTATTAAGATGTCCAAGCGTCTTAACCGTGCCGTGACTCAGGCATTTCATTGTCTCCAACCTCGCCGACAACATGAACGTGAGCAGCTGGAGGTAAGCCAGAACATCTTCCTCGTAAATCATCGGTAACTTTCTCACCTCCACATATCCCTCGTCTTGTTTCACGGGAGGACGGCACCGAGGTTTCGAACAACCCTCAGCCCACTCCACTTACTTCGACAGCGCCTTCGTCTGCTGGACTCCCGACTCCTCTAGTTCCAGCATCTTCAGCACTTACGGCAGCTTCGGCAGCGCCTATTGTCGCCAGTGAAGCCACGGAGATGGCTCTTCCTGTTCCGCCTGCGCCTGCTGGTGATTCTCCACCGGTCACCGAGGATTCGTTGCGCGTCTTGCTGGCTGAGAGCAGGGAAGCATCGATCTATCATATGATGACGTCAATTATCCCATACTTGACTGCGATGGCTCGTCATTAAGTGCAGATCAACGTCGCTCCTCCTCTTCACGGCGATGCTCGTTCTCAGCGTCGTCGTGAGACCGCGGTGGGCTTCGACGAGGCTCTCGTGGCTGTACAGCCTCTTCCTGATGCGTTAGCGGACCTTACTGACCGAGTCGTCAGTCTGGAGCGTCAGCTGTGGATTTCACAGACCGAGGCCGCTGCCGCCGTACGTTCGGTGGCTCCCGAAATCATGGCTCGGAAAAACGGGGAGGCGTTCTTGAAGGCCGCCAATACCAAAGTTGAAGCTCTCTGTGCAGACATCAAGATTCTCTGCGAGTCCGACGCCAAGAACGGCGCTATGCTCTTGAGTGTGTAGTCTTCAATGGAGCAGCATTCGGAAGAGCTGAGGTGTCAACACCTTGAAGTTCAAGCACGTGACGCGTTCATCACTACCTTGAACAAGAAGCTGACTAGATAACGCAAAGTTTACAAGCCTGCAATTGGAGCCAACACCGAACAAGCTCGCCAGCTCCATCTTCTCTTGGTCAAGCTCGCCAAGGGCAAGTATATCGACAATGACACGTTAAAGGTCCTCGAAAATCAGCAGACCCGTAACACGCACCTTCTTCAAGTCAACCGTATTCTCCGTGCACACGTGAGTTTGGCAGGGATGGATTCAGAGGCCCTGCGTATGGCGGTTGATGGTACGGCTCTGCTGTTGCTGTTTCTATAGTGTACTCGGCAGCTAACACTCGTTTGCAACTTCTTGTGACAGGCCTCACCGCAGGTGATCTGGATCTGGATGCTTTGGACCTGAACCAAGACTATTGTTGCTTTGTAACGCATACAGTCTGCTGCCACGTCTTTGCCTGACCGTCAGACTCTCCCTGCAGCCTTAGGGAAAGCTGCTCACCAGCTCATGACAAGCTTCTTAAGCGACTTCGACCAGGTGGCAAAGAGTCAGTGCCCGGTGTCCCCAAAAGCTTGAGCGCATTGTAGAAGGCAACGAGCCCACAATGATACGTATCGTCAGCGCCGTAGCTTAGCTTTTCTGACCTGACGGGATTTCTTCCAGTTCACGAAGCCTGAGCGCTCAAATTGATGACCAAATCACCTCCTCCGTGCCGCCTGAGGCCGGGCACACGGGTAGGAAATACGGTTAAGAACTTCCTCTGCGCAAGGTGCTTGTGTGCCCCGTCACATTCTCTCACATGGAGTGTATTACTGAGATAGCAATTGTCGAAGGTAGGGTGCTAGGAGCCGATATCGATTTAATTCGTGTAACGTGTGACCCCGGCTTAAGCTCAGTTTGATTTATTATTTGATTTCATTTAAAAGGAATCATGCGACCGCCAAGTGTGCATTATGTCAATGTGTTTAACGAGCAACAAAGCATTCCCTGCTCCTGTTCGCGGCCGCAGAGAATGCTTTGCTCGGTACAGTATT